AGCCAAGGTACACTGAATGATCGTCCTGTGAGGTACGATTCAAACCAGGCATGTGCTTTCTCTGTGATGCCCATGCTTGAGAGTTGTTTACAAGTTATTACAAATAGCATTCAACATGCCATATTGTACAAACTAATAAATGAGAGTGAAGAACCACTTTTTACATAACATGATGTTCAGTTATAAAAAAGGGCTGTGCGTTCAGTTGGTATAAAACATCTTTACACCAGCCTGCATCCACCACCTCTCTAATGCTGCTGCACTGGTCCAATTGCTGATTTTGACGTTCCAGATGAGATGGGCAGGAGCCAAGTTTTCAAATATTTTTATTTGCCAGTTAATCTCTTAAGGGGACATATGTGCAAAACTCACCCTTTGCATCATTTCGTGCTGCCATGTGGGTCTCCACTCCAAACGTGAAAAAAAATCTATCCATCTGTTTTCTGTCTGTGTTTTATTTACTGTGCCTAAAAAGAGCTGTTTTAAAATGTCCTCATTTGTGATGTCATAAAGTGGAAAAGTTGTTTAGAACCACCTCTCACATGCAAAAGAGAGGAGCAGCAGCTCTACTCCTAGCCCCTCCCAGATATAGGAGCTTCTCAGCTTATAGCAGCCTGAGTTGGGGATGGTTGGGAATGGCCGACTCCAGCTTGTTTACTTAAAGTAACAGAGCCTTGAAATGACTCATTCTGGAGGGTATTGAAGATTAGATTTAGCTGGTTTTGGGAAAACAACTTTATGAACATGTTTTGTATTGACCATAGACCTATTCAAATTCAAGACAAAAGGCCATAATAGAGCTTTAATTGTTGTGTCTGTAGGTGAGCGGCAGAATTAAAACAATCTAAAAAATGACAGCTATCTGTTAGCACAGAAGGCGCCCAGCCAGTTGAGGAGAGTTGTGACTAAACTAAAACTTTGTATCCTTCTATGTGCTGTGTGTGCAATTACAGTCATACATCTATTTTATTATCCAAAAATGTTGAGAACAGTGTATAGTACAATTGTTATGTAATGTTAGTTTGCTAGCTTTTGTAAAGTTCGGATGTTTAGTAGTTCTCCTTGACATGTACAAAAGGTGGACTTTTGATTCCCAGAAACTCTCAGAAATTCCAGATCTGCGTAGAAAAAACTCTATTTGAAGCTGAACTCTAAATTAAAAGTGAAATTTGCCATGATTTTTTTCCTGTTTTCATTTAAATCCTGACGTGAAACTTCAAGCTCAACACAACCAGAATTAAAAGACTTTTATTTGCAAGTAAGACAGCACCAGAAAACCTATTAAAACGATACAGGCAAATTGCTCTTACTCCAGATAATCCTTGCTTTGAATGATTCCCAAAGCCAGCAGAGTCAAACTGCTTTAACTCAGAGCAGAAGTGACCAGTCAGGTGTTATTCTAATCAAAGTCACAGGTAATGCTCGCCAGCAGATCAGTTCAAAAATCTCTTCCTTTCTTTCCTTTTTAATTTTTGTTTTTTTAAATGTACAAAACTCTTGTCAGCAGCAGTGATATAGAACAGCAATAATGTCCAGCACTAATTTAATACCTTATTACCATAAGCCTGCTGCAATGCATGCATAATAAATTGTTGTATCTTTTACATGGCTCAAGCGTTTGGTTAGGAGACCGGATTCTCTTCAGACTGTACCAAATTTGCATGATAGGATGTGAGAGTTGGATGGATTTGGGGATTATATGAAACACAGTTTCCATTTTCAGGTCATTGTACTAAGAGGTATCACATTTACCCAGATGGCAAGGAATTTGGAAATGCACAGCTTCTGTGGATGCCAAAAATGAGCACAGAAGAAGAAAAAGAAATACTTCAAAGACTTGATATGCTGTACACATTTTTATTGTAGAAATAGTATGGTATTTGACATCCTACCTCGTTTTATATTAGTTTAATGAGCTGCAGTTTTTTGCAGCTCGGATGGAGCTGATCAGTATTGTTATTGGTCTTTAAGCCACATGGTCACAGCTTCACAATGTGTTTCATTGGGTGTTCCGGAAACCCTTGCCGGAAAATCGTGATGTTCATTATTCTTAGATCATTAGTAGTTCAGGCCAGGGAACATGTTACTGCTCAGTTAACTGACATCACCTTGACAGTGCATAGCCAGAGGTTAGTGTGTAATTCATTGCATTAAAACAGTAAACATTAGATGAAAAAGGTACCCGCTCCAGAGGTGGGTTTGAGATTTTAACTTGTTTGTTATGACTTCTTTCTTTCTTTACACTTATTTCCTGTTTTACATGTTTCACATCCGTTTTTATGAAGAATGATAATGAAAATAATTGTTTTCATGTGGCAACAGCCTCAGCAAGCAAATAAAGTCTCAATTAGTTCACACAATCGTATCTCCAGATCTGAAGAGCATGAACTTTACTTTGCCCCAGATTTTAGTTTCACATAAGAAAATTCCCACGAACACAAAATCTTACCTTCCTGCCCCCTGCTGTCAGTTTGAATCTGTTTTCATTTCCAAACATCAGATTCACGATCCGACTCACATAAATACCAGCGGTCAGGTAACGCTGATTTCTGGTGACGTCAGGAACTGAGGAGCAGTCGCGTTAATCAGCAGGGTTTTCTCCAGGTGACACTAACGAGTCTCGTTTGGCATTAAAAGGTCAGACATGCTGCGGTGAAACTGGCTGGGGTTAAATTTGGGGGTTTGTTTTTGCAGCAGGATTTTGAAGATGAGCTACCTTCATGTAGATAAATAATTCTGACTCAACCACAATTTTTAGAGTAAATAACAGTTTCCATTTATTCTAAGCTACTTGCCACACAAAGTGGGAGAGTTTACCCTTGAACCTTTCTTAATGAACGCCAATCCCAAACAGGTGAATTGAAACAGTCGCTAACTATGAAAGGGTGTAAATTTCATCATGCCCATCTAAATATTCACAGCTCAAATTCAAACTGAAGACTTTTCCCTCTTTCCATTTCTAATGAAACCAAAGATGCAGCTATTGTGCACAGCAGCAGCTGCCTCTTTCCCTGCCTGTGTCATTCTGCTCTGTGCTTCATAATTGCACACTTCAATGTCAGGTTCAAGCTCAAAGCTCACTAAAATTAACTTGTTTGTGAGTCATCTTTGGAAACATCCCATCAAGGTTGCATGATTCTCAACAGCGTTACATGTAATCGAGGCCTGTTGACTGCGGCGAAGGACTCAAACCACAGAGGCCTGAGTGCTGTTGTGTTGCTTTTCACAAGCTCACTGTCAAAGCTCCTAGAGCTGAATGAACTGTGAGGACTCTGGTACTTTCAATAAAACAGTGATGGCTGCTGGTGTTTTTGTTGCCATTTTTAAAATAAATACATAATTCTGTAACTATGCCAGAATGGAAAGGTTAGTAACACATGAGAAGTTTCCTGTTTCTTCCCCCTACTGGTAGAACGTGGGATTACTACTCTTGTAAACAACATCGCCGCAGCCTCCAGTGAGTGTTCACTCTGGTTTTATGGCGTGTTCGATTTGTCGTCGGAACTCGGAAATCACCACTTCAGAGTAGGAAAAATCAAATGAAAGGACCTCCAAAGTCGGCCAGTCGGAAACTCGGAAGATTTTAGGAAATCCGACCTTGACATCCACAACGGCAGCTCCCCGAATCAACAACAGTAACTTTGGGGTGAAGTGTGCTTGTTTTACAAAACACACTTATAAGACTGTATTCCACTGATGATTGTTTTGTTTATAAAGTGATACCAATGTAAAAGCCTGCGGGAATGGAGTGATGGCCAGTTAACGAGTGAGTGATCACAATGATGAGTAGTGAAAGGGGCACCAGTGACGAAACAGATTGCTAAATGATGTCACTGTCATCTAAAATGGGAATGATGGTCCTTTTGACCAAGGGCTGCTTTGCAGAACGAGTAAAGGATGACCTGTTGCAGTACAGAAACTCAATCTGACACACACACTAAAAATTAAGTTTAAATGTAAATCAAAAATTGACAAAAAGTCTAAGTTTAATGGATGTCAAAATCCACAGAAACATTTAGGAGTTTGTTGCATTTGAAAATGTTTGACTTTAGATTTATGCGGAGCTGCTTTGGCTGTGGTTTTGTTTAATGTTGGGATAATGTATTTGGACTAACTTGTTCCATATCTGAACATGTACTATGTGAAGAAGCCAAATGAGAGAAAAGATAAAAATCTGAACACATTTGGACATGTTTTTTCCCAGCGTGTACACAAACCGCTATATTAACATTTCAAAGACAACATTAATTATTAGTCTAATTATTACATTAAAATGCATTTTTATTTCAAAGCTGCACATAACTCCATCGCTCAAAGACATTTCAATCCACTTCATCTGTGTGTGCATTGCACATTTCCTGTTTTTCCAGCACTTTTACTTTAGATTTCACTACAAATAAAGACAGCGACTGTATGAAGGTAATTTATGTATCGTTCATCTCTTCGATAAGTGCTTGCAGGTGTTCAGAGTTGTTGACAACAAAAACATCAGACTACACTCTGGATATTTGTCATTCAAATACAGATGTTTCCATTTTCCATGTTGTGTTTTTTATTTATTTGATTTGTTAAGCCTTTGAAACAATTCAAATCTTAAAGATTTCAACCCCATGGTGTTGTTCCGGTATAGAACAAAAGTTTTGTTTAGTTAATACAATTTATAAAAATGTTTATTTTTATGTAGAAAAACTGAAGTTGTCAAATATGGACGCTGGCCCTGTTCTGGTAAAAGAGATCTCAAAATAAAAAGCTTGAAAAAGTTAAATAAATAATAATTTAAAGTAATGTAGAATGATTAGAACAATCTAGGACATTTCAGAACATTACATCACCATAGATTAATACAGAAAACATCATAATTATTATACAATATAATTTGTTTGTATAAATACAAATGATTATATTATTATAACAATAGATGCCATTTTAAATCAAATATAGCATATTAGAAAATTTTATATATTGTATAAATTGTATATATTGTATAAATTGTATATATTTGTGGAGCTTCCCTCGACGTCATCTTCCTCCTCTTCATCCCCATCACTGATGGTGAGATTGGCTGGCACAACAAGTGTAATCATCTACTTTCCACAGAAATATTAGCTTAAATCTGCCAAATACGTTCAGTTTAATGTTTATTATTATTATAGTTTTACCATCAATATGACGATCATGTCTATAAAACAACAGATTTACCTAAAAATATACATAATTTCTTTAACTTGTTCAGGACGTATGATCAAACATGGCAGCTTGATTTTCATGCCATGATTTCACCAACTTTATTGAGTTTAACATAAACAACATATATATTCTTATTTAGCACAACCGGTCAACCTTGTAATGTGAGAGTTTCATAAACTTAGCATTGTGTTTGTAAACTAAAGGCGAGACTGAGCCCCATGGAGGCGGTTTTCCAGTTCTGCAGATACAATATTTGGTGCATTACAGCCCTGCGCTGGTTAGTCGAATGGAGCGAACTGTGACTAGCTTGATCTCTGATGATTGGTTGGGTGAAATCCCATAATTTATTAAAAATAATAATAACAATAATAATAATAAGTGTCCGAGAAAAGGCGCACTGACTTAATTTCTGATGCGAATGGAAGTGTCTAAATATAGACGCCGGCCCTTTAAAGGGTTTGAAGACAACTTTTCAAGAAGTTTAAATGTTCCTCTCTAAATGAAAGTAACACCATATAAATCTGAAGCCTTACATGAAGTGTGATGTTTTCCTTGTGGATCACAGATTTATAAAGACAAATCTCAAAACCCTGCTCCATGGCCTCTCAGCCGGTTATAAAGAAAGTCATTCTTTTGTGGCAGCATTGCTTTCAGATGTGGTCAAACAGCATGGTCTCCTGTTACCAAAAAAGAACACGCCCTTTCTGCAAATGAAGTGTTTTGAGAGAAATGAGTTGTGGAGGGAGAGTCCCTTAATGGAGACAAGTAATATAAACTCAGCCAGAGAAAGCAGTGTGGGAGACGAGAAGCAGTTTCACAGAGTTTGAATGTTTCCATCAGCACAGACCACCACTTGCACAGCTGACAAACGGCAAGTTGAATATCATCAACGTCTTCAACGCATCACATTACTCCTAACTTAAGCAGTCGTTAAAATGACACCGTATTCACGATTATCCTGAAATGTTTTGCTGACGTTTACCAGACCCAATTCTCTAATACACATTTTATAAATACTCTTAAAGAAAATGCAACGCCAGGTATTTTCAAGCCTTTAAAAACTTCCTCTTAAGTAATAATGAGAGTGAGAAACATGGTGCATTTAAGTGAAAACCCTGATTAATTATGAATGATTGGAGGACTCCTAAAAGCTTTGGGGAGGGAAGAGAAAGAAACGACATAAACAGGACACGAAGTCCAGAATGGCTGGATGGATACCAGATGTGAAACTGCAAAGTATACAGGTGAATGCAGAATGATGAGCGACATTACTTCTGCACTGCTGGACACCGGCTGACCGTGTGCAGGGTAAAAGCCTCTTGTTTGTACTTTAACAGCAATGTAGGCCATGTTTTATCATAATTTGCTGAATTGAATCTGTTATTTTAGGGGATGTTTTCAGCTCTTTGTGCATCCATCTAAGCATAAATGCATTTAGATCATTGCTAATGTTTAAGAATCAGTGATGCAGCCTGGATATGATAAAGCGGTTTGAAATGATCAGAAGTCAGAAATATAATTTCATCTAGAAATTTAAACCCAAAGACAAGAAACGCTTATCACTTCCATTAACTTCTGCAGACTGACTTTATTTTTTCCCCTTGCACTTTGGTTCTTCTTTCCTTCTGCCCTGCTCTTCCTTTGCTGTCAGAGGCATCATGCATGTTTTCACCTCTAAAGTGATTGTACCTGATTTATATGACAGGCCTTTAACCCGGCATGTTCGTGTCCATCAGCATCAGGCAGAAAACACCCAAGGGCACGTGTGAGCAGGACCAAATCTGGATCTCTGTCATTCACTGTCTGTAACCTCCAACTAGAATGCACTCCTACAAATCACATTTATTCCTGCCTGGTTTGGAGAATGAGTCAGTCACACAAGGTGAGATGTAATGTATATATATATATATATATATATATATATATATATATATATATATATATATATATATATATATATATATATATATATATATATATATATATATATATATATATATATATAGTGTTCTCCAAAATGTGGATTTAGATTTATTCTTTAACATTTCAATTTTGAGCCATAACAATTGACTTGCTGTTATTGTCAGTTTGAACAATTAACTACTGTTGAATGTTAAGCAAAGACTTTTTAAGATGGTGTGATAGAAATTTAAAGAGTGTATGTTTTGAATAAGGTGGAATAATGCACTTGCATGTCTGAATAAATCAATATCTAGACTGGACTACATAACACAAGTGAACATTGTCTCCATCCGCAGGCGATTCACAAAAACTGAAATGACTCACTTTAAAGCACAATTGCTCCACTTAGTGGACTTAGGAAGAAGTAAAGGGCCAAAGCTTAAAAGATGAGGTATATGTTTTATTAGTTTTATTTATTGTTTGTTTATTTTTTTTTTAATTTTTTCAACAGCTTTGATTGATATTGTAAAGTATTAATCTGGCTTGTGCTCAGGAACAATCGTTATCATCACTTAGCACTTATGTGAGAATGAAAGCTGCTTTACAAGTCAAAGTAAACGGGTCGCTATTTATAATATGGCATTGCATCATTCTATAATCTTTTTAGATTTATGAGAACTTCAAAAAGGTTTTAAATCGTTTGATTCACCCAGAGTTGCATTAGACCATTTTATATTCATTCATTCGTTCATATCCAGTTTCAGGAAATAGATCTTTTTATGAGGGAACTACAAAATAAAAGCAGGCCCCAGTTCTGCGTTTGGGTCACGTGACACCTCTGTTTACAGACATCCGGAGAAACATGGAGGACACCGATGGCAGTAATCCCCAGTCTCTCGGATTTACAGAGAAATTGAAGTCTTGGCTCTCCTGGTCATGGACCTACGTGTGCGTGGTCTGGTTCGGAATGGTGCTAATAATGATATACGTCCTGTGGAGTCCGCTGAAACTGCAGGAAACGCTTACCTCAGGTCAGTTAATGCAGCATCTGGCTAGCTATTGTTAGCATTCGGCTAGCAGACGGTAGCCGTATCTTTTGACAGCTCGCTTTGTGTGTGATGAAGAGCCGAGGCTCCTGCTTGCTCAGATAGATAGATTTTTTTTACCAAATAGTAACTTTACTCTAATCACTGTTCACCGGTATTTTGTCACGCTTTTAAAATTCGGCAATGAATGATTTTGCTAGAAAATTAGACTGAAATGTAAGTGCTACCTAATTAGCATTCTGTCACTGGTTGATATGCTTGCATTTCAGTAACATCAGTTTTCCCTTTTGCTGCCTTTTACTCAAGTTTCCTCTCATCTTTTGTCTTTCAGCCTCAGTGTTTTTGAACACACTCACACCTAAATTCTACGTGGCTCTTACTGGAACCTCTTCTCTCATCTCTGGACTAATTCTAGTAAGTTAGCATCTTAATTATTACTTTTATCAAACTGACTGAAGCTCCTGTCTCAGCCCTAGATTTATACTCGTGATTTACCATCTCGGTTACTGCATTTCTAAAGGATAGGTTTGAGGTCAGGGGTAGCTCTAGGCCCTCTTAATATGGCTCCTAGAATATAAATCAAAATACAAATGCAGTAATCTAAAATGAGAAGTTTTTGGAGTTTTTGAATAGTTTATTGTAATGGCATCAGTTTCCTGTTGCATAGGTGTGGTTTTTAGCAAAATTAATATAAAACAATACCCAAAATAACAATTTGACAGACATATAAAAGAAAAACAAGGGGTTTCTAAAGGCAGCAATGAGATGAACATGAAACTCACAGATCATTTCTATGTTTGTGCATCATTAAAGTACTGCACATTTTAATTTATTTTTAAATTAGAAAATGTATTATAACACTTACACTAATTAGTCTTTTTTAATTTGATGCAATCTCAACTGACTTGAGAACATTCTGGTTTGTTTACAGACTGGCGTGGCAATCTAAGAGAATTACTAATGTTTCTTGGTGTCTTTTTTTCAGTTAAACATAATTTCATCATGTGTGCTCTTGTAATAGATATTTGAATGGTGGTATTTTCGCAAGTATGGGACATCGTTCATTGAACAGGTGTCTGTGAGCCACCTGCGTCCTTTACTGGGTGGAGTGGAGAGCAACTCTACGACTGGTCTGTTCTCATCAGTCAATGGAGAAGCAGAGCCTAGGCCCAGTGTTTCTGGTAAATATAATATTGTACAAATGAATGGCGCACTTCTTAATACTGTGAATGCCTACAATGATACCTTTTTGCTTTTTTTGTAGAATGCAAAGTCTGGAGGAATCCTTTAAACCTTTTTAGAGGGGCAGAATACAACAGGTATCTATAGTTTAAAGCATGGTTTCAGATGTGTATATGCCTTAAAACAAATGTTATGCTAATTGAATTATTTTCATATTTTGAGTTGTATAGCAGACTAGGCATCCAGATCACCAAGGTGCTTTGCAGAAATTACATTAAATTTTAGTTTAAATATCGTTCTTGAATTGTTGAGAAGAAACTGGGATGACAGTGGGCCAGACCCGAGTGAGATGTAAGGTGGGATCTAGCCAGTTAAGATGTTATAGCAAATCTACAGAACAAGCTAGCTTTTAAACACAAACACAGTCGAGGAAGACTCATCCCTCAACCCAGGTATCATTCTGGGGACATTTCTGCCTGAACCGGAAACCTGCAATGTCATAGGAAACGAAATAGTCCTTAACACCAGTCACCGTTTTCTAGGTCCAAATGTCTTTTGCTGTCCATGACTTCAAATGGTGTTTTTCTTTTTTGGCACTCTGGTAGTTTGTCCTAAAGTTTAAGTGGTAGCAGCTGTCTGTTTGTCCTTCTCTGATGTAACCGAACGGTGAACTTCTCACACGAGTGGTGCTCTGTTGATAAATACATGAGTGTGTAATGTGGACGACGTAGGGAAGTGCGGAAGTGTTTCTTCGAGACCGAAAACCGGATGGTCTAATAGTTACTTTGGGTTTGAAGCGTTTTTTTTTTTTGGTGGAGGTTTTAGACAAATGCGAGAGGACCACATTAATTTGTTATTTATCTTTACAGTATATTTATAACGATGTACTATGTTAGAATGTGTTAAGATGCATGAAAAAAAGTAAGCCACTTAGTTTGTCAAATTTGCTTTTGTGGCTTTAAGAGTTTTTAAAACAAACCAACTTTTAAAATCTTTTTGAAGCAAGCAGGCAGCCAGTGAAGGGGAAAATAAAACTGGTGTTATGAGCTCATGTCTTAAGGTTTCAGTTAGAATGTCTCATTATTCATAACGAACATAATGACGGATCTAAATGCTTGAAATTATTTGTAAATAGATCTTTCTTTCTTTCTTTCTTTCTTTCTTCTAAACGTTTTAGAAATAAAACAATATTTCTGTTGATTTGTGATGAACTCCACCGATAGCATCAACTCTGTGTACAGGTACACCTGGGTAACTGGAAAGGAGCCTTTAACCTACTATGATATGAACCTATCTGCTCAAGATCATCAGACCTTCTTCACGGGAGATACTCACCAGTTAAGGCCAGAGGATGCTGGTGAGTTTTGAGCTTCAGCTATGAAATAAGCTAAATAACTCAAGATCGTGATATTTTGATTTCAAATATTAGAAATTATAGCAATGAAATCAGTTTAATTGAAATGTATTGAATAAAGCTGTTCTTTTTGTCGTGCAGCTCTGTTGTTGTACACATTGGAGCTGTGAGGTCGCATGAATATTAAGCACAAGTTCACTTATCTTCTTCCAGTGATGCAGAAGGCCTGGAGAGAGAGAAATCCTCAAGCCAGGATCAGAGCCGCTTACCAGGCCATTGAAATGAATCATGAGTAAGTTCTGCTGTACGAGTCCACGTTAGCATAGCTTTGTCACAGATATCCCAAAACATTCTCCGCAAACAGCAGATTTGAGGTTTGTTGTCATCGCCTCTAGGTGGGAAAAGGTCATTTTTGAATGACCCATTTTTAGGATCATTTGGCAGCTTTATTACAATTTATTTGTTGACTATGTTGACAGAGAAAACACACACACACACATTATATGTATTTATACCCATCCATCCATGTTCATCCGCTTATCCAGGATTGGGTTACAGGGGCAGTTAGATAAGCAGGGAGGTCCAGCTACGTATGCCAGCTCCTCCGGGGGAATCCCAAGGCGTTCCCTGGCCAGCATAGTCCCTCCAGCGTGTCCTGGGTCTTCCTTTAGGTCTCCCACTGGTTGGACGTGCCTGAAAAACCTCACCAGGGAGGCGTCCAGGAGGCATTCTAACCAGATGCCCAAGCCACCTCAACTGGCTCCTTTCGATGTGAAGGATCAGCGGATCTACTCCGACCTCCCAGACAACCGACCTTCTCACCCCATCTCTAAAGGAGAGCCCAGCCACCCTGCAGAGAAAGCTCATTTCGGCTGCTTGTATCCGTGATCTCGTTCTTTCGGTCACTACCCAAAGCTCATGACCATAGGTGAGGGTAGGAACGTAAATCGACCGGTAAATCAAGAGCTTCGCCTTCTGACTCAGCTCTCTCTTCACCACGACAGACCGGTACAACGCCCACATCACTGCAGATGCAGCACCAATCCGCCTATCGATCTTGCGCTCGAGCTTTTTCTCGATAGTGAACAAAACCCCGAGATACTTAAACTTCTCCACTTGGGGCAAGACATTATCCCTGACCCGGAGAAGGCATTCTGCCCTTATCTGACTCAAGACCATGGTCTCGGATTTAGAGGAGCTGATTCTCATCCCAGCTGCTTCACACTCGAACCGCTCCAGCGAAAGCCGGAGATCACGTTCCAATGAAGCCAACAGGACCACATCATCTGCAAAAAGCAGAAACCTGATCCTCAGGCCACCAAAGGGATCCCCATCCACATCTTGGCTGCACCTAGAAATTCTGTCCATAAAGGTTATGAACAGAATCGGTGACAAAGGGCAGCCTTGGCAGAGCCCAACTCTCACTGGGAACGAGCCCGACTTACTGCCGGCAATGCGGACCAAGCTCTGACACCGGTCATACAGGGACCTAACAGCCCATATCAGAGGGCCTGGTACCCCATCTGTTATCGAATACATCTGTTTACACTCGCCTAATGTGGAAGTGAAACCAACATTTAAAGGTTACAAATTCAAATTTTTTTTAAATGAGTATCTACATGGGAAATAAATGATTTAGTGTGTGTGTGTGTGTGTGTGTGTGTGTGTGTGTGTGTGTGTGTGTGTGTGTGTGTGTGTGTGTGTGTGCGTGTGCGTGTGCGTGTGTGTGCGTGCGCAGATGTGCTGCAGCTTATGTGCTTCTAGCAGAAGAAGAAGCCACAACCATCACAGAAGCTGAGCGACTCTTTAAAAAAGCTTTGGGTTTTGGTAAGGATTGTGCACTCATTAGTCTGAAGTCCATTTTACCACTACCTTCATCTGGACTCATTATTGTGAACCTCTCCTTCAGTATTTACGCCACAGGAACTGCATTCCTGTTCTAAACGTCTTTATTCTTCATCTTTGCAATCCACAGCGGGGAAGGATGTCAACCTATTGGTGTACATTAAACGCAGACTAGCGATGTGTGCACGTAAGCTGGGGCGGATTAAAGAAGCCGTGAAAATGATGAGAGATGTGAGTTTCTGTCAACACTCGTCCATGACAGAGAATCAATATGTAAATATCCTAGCAGAAGAAAAAACTACCAGAATACTCATGTTTACTGTAATGACCATGATGGCAGCACATCTTTTAACCTCTTTACAGTTAATGAAAGAGTTCCCATTGCTGGGAATGTTAAATATACACGAAAACCTCTTGGAAGCGCTTCTGGAGCTTCAAGCCTACGCGGATGTGCAAGCTGTTCTTGCAAAATATGATGGTAAGGCTGAAAGAATCCTCCCAGATTAGGAGACGTTAAGTTAAATATACACAGATGAGATTAAATGTCGCATTCATGCAGTTTCTGCCTTGTTTTAGACATCAGCTTGCCAAAATCAGCTACTATATGCTACACATCTGCACTGCTGAAAGCACGGGCTGTTTCAGATAAGTATGTTGAGTTCGTGTTGTTCCAAATATCTAACCTCACAAAGCCTATATTGTCTTTTCCTATAGAGCCCATCGTCTGGGCTGACCGCTCAACAGCATGTGTGTTTTCTCAGGTTCTCTCCAGAAGCAGCATCCAGACGTGGGCTGAGCACAGCAGAGATGAATGCTGTAGAGGCCATACACAGGGCCGTTGAGTTTAATCCACACGTGCCAAAGGTCAGTCCTTAGCCTGAGAGGAAAGTGTTAGTCTGTTGGAGAGTGTTTCGTTGGTTTGTTTAAGGTATGGTGGAGGATGTTTCTGAATCTCAGGAAAGACCCGCCCTCTCCACGTTTTGAATAAATGCACGCTCTCTTTACGAGTAGCTGCCGGCCTTGCAGCACTACTTCTGGCAGTAATCTGAAATAAATTTCTCCAAATAGCAAGCTTACCTGTTAAACCGGCGACTTTGCTTTCAGCGCGCCCCAACGTTGAAAGGAGGCTCCTAAAAAAACAGGTCTTATTTCTCACTTCTCTTGTTATCGTAGACTTCATAGATACTTTTTTTTTGCGACTCAGCCATTTTCCAAAGATCCCGGTGACAACGGCGAGGAATGAAGACGTATCGTTCTACATATAAACAGGATGCACGTGCAGGAAGTGAATGAGCACGTATGACGACGGCCTTACGTGAAAGCATCACCAGAATGATTGACAGTTATGCGGACCAATGGTTCAGATGATCCCACCCGGAGGAAAAAGATCCTCCACTGTACTTTTAAAGAATGTGATTGGTCATTTAATCCATCCCTGCAAACTTGTCGCTTTTCTGTGAAAATCAACATTTTTGAGGTCAAATATGGTGTGTACGTGAATCGTATACATTAGAAGAGTTTTTGTTTGGGGTGGGGGTCTTCTGTTGAGTAACAGTCACTCTTTAGAAGAATCAGTCAGAGAGGAGGGAGGGTTCCTCTTGTTCAAACTATCTTTGTTGTAGCGTGTCAGCAGTCATGCATCATTTTTTGACCAATCGCAGCCACGGAACATGCCAAAAATTGCAGACGCTGCTCAAATGAAACAAAGTCACCACTAAATAACACGGTTTTTGGTCAAGGACTTTAAGCTTTTATATCCTGAATTCATCCATCCATTATTGTCTGCTTATCCGGGGTCGGGTCAAGAGGACAGTAGCCTAAGCAGACAGGCCCAGACTTCCCTGGCAAGGGACATAGTCACTCCAGCGTGTCCTGGGTCTTTCATTAGGTCTCCTCCTGGCTGGATGTGCCCAGAAAACCTCACCAGGAGGCATTCTAACAAGATGTTCGAGCCACCTCAACTGGCTGGATCCTGAATTTAATGTGTACTTTTATCAAATCTCCACCATACTGTTGACTCACCAGGAGGTGTCAGTGTGGGTCTTTCTACTGAAAGGCATCAGAATACTTTTCCTTTTAGCTTTTTGATACTCGCATAATGTGGGACTATTGTTCAGTCCCAGTTTTAGCCTCAAAGTGCATTTCCATTTACAACTGAGAGAGAGATAAAAAGTCGATGTGTTTGTTGAAATTGGGACCACCAGCACCCATCTTCAGCGCCTGTCCCTCTGTTCTCTCCCCCTATCCTCTCGTGTCCCGTTGTCTCCCCCTCGTCTCCTGTTTGGACCAGACATTCTGAATGTGGCCACTCCTGCCAACTTGGTCAAAATACCTTGTTGAACATTTCACAAAGACATAAAATACGAAGCATTATGAGGACTTTTCGACTCATACCAGGAGTCGTTAAACACTAAGTTGCTGTGATAGCAGAGTGTTGAGGATGAAAATGACAGAACTTGGCAGGAGGCAGAGGATTCATGTCTGAATGATGAGTGGACCTGTGCTTGGTGCCTTTTCACAGACTACTTGGTGTTGAATGCATCTGATATTTAGATTTTTACTACAGCTTTTGTTTCTGTTCCTCTGTAGAAAAAGGGAGTCATACAGATGTGTGGAGCTGCTACCCACGCAAGATTAAATTAGAGCAATAATGCATTAAAACGCGTTAATCTTATTGTTCTAACAATATCCTGTGTGTGTGTGTGTGCGTGTGTGCGTGCGTGCGTGCGCGTGTGTGTGCGTGTGTGTGTGTGGGGGGGGGGGGGGGGGGGGGGGGGGGGCCCGGAGGACAGAAGACAGAAGAAAACGTAGCTAATTAATTAATTTGGTTCCGTACCTTTCTCTTCAGCACAGCTGACAAAGGTTTATGATGGGTCAGTCCTCCTGCATGCTCAGATCATTCCCTTCCCTTGCTTGAAAAATTGTTCCAAGATGAAAGCCCCACATCTTTTTTATCTGTGAATTCAATGCCTTTCGGCGAGTCACAAATAAAAATTTGGGCATCTTACTGTAAAAAAAATATATCATTAAAGTAAAAAAGAAAATCCAAATAACAAATTATGTTTGCACCTGGAATTGAACCCAAGTCTTCTACATGAGAGTCAGACATCCTACTAGGTGAGCTAAAGCACCAGTGACATTGAGTTTATCTGTAACATTTATATCCTCGATGACAGCTGAAAAAATGTAAATCCAAAGAACAGTTCGGAGCGAAAATGGCTATTTTGTTGCTAATTTGCAGGAAATATTTAGAAGAAAGTTCTACAGAAAGTAGCTAAGGGTCCTCAGAAATGTAGCTAGGTTCATCACTAGGCGTTAGGAACAGCGACAAAGTCGCTGAGTTGGCACTGCCTCTCTCTCTGCTGCTAAAGCTACAGATAGCAAATTTTACGGGCTATGCCTGAGCGTGAACGCGCATGAAGCAGCCTGCTTGACCCGAGCACCTCTCTCTTTCTGTGATTTTACAGAAAAACAGGCAATCACAGTAAAAATGCCAGGGCTCATTCTACAGGACCAGGGCATTGCAGGAGAATGTATGAAGAAGAAATGTATTATTTCTATACATGTTGTGGCTGTCAAACTTCCTTATAGTCCCTTTGACCTTGTAGTCAGTACATTTAAAAGCATTGGATTATTTCAATAAAACTTTGAATTTATGTTTTATTTATTTAGATCAGTTGGACTGATTCATCAATATGGCACGTTAACAAAACCGTAGTTGGTGGCTAATCTTTGTTCTCTTAAGGCGTTACTGAAGTTTAGTAAAGCTAGGTGGACACTGTGCGACTTTTTCACTCGTAACACTCAGCTTCAGCTCAAACTGTACGACTTCCTCGCAGGGCAGATCTCAGGAGTCATGTGCTCACACTGCACGACCCAGTTCTCGGTTGCGACCTGACTGCTCACACTGTACGTCTGGTAGCAACACGTCGGACCTAACAATATGCTAAAAATAGCCGTTTTTACACAACACGTCAGACTTTTTTGTCTTGTTTTGCCTGTTGTCCTTCGGGAGTGCTGCAGGAGGACACACAGGGATTTATGGGGGTTGGATGAGGAAACGAAATAAAGAAAGTAAATCTGTGTTTTGTGATCAGTTTAATTTGCCACGAACACGACAAACACGCTTTCTTGACAATCTTTGTGAGTAAAAAAAACGTGTAGAAACAAAAACGAACAACGTGTGTTATTAGGGAAATAGCAGGCGAGCGGTGTTGATGCAGGATTGCGCATGCGCCGTGAGAGGTTCTGATACTTTTTGGGTCGCAGCTGCTCGCAGAGCCGCTTCAACAGTGCGATACCCTCACGAGGGACGAGCAAAATTTCAAACACGCCAGAAGTTTGTGCGAGCTCATGATTGCTGATCCGTAGCTGGTCACATGGTGTTAATGGCCTCTCGTAACCCCCTGTACACTACACGACGCTCGGCGCAACACTCGCCCCGATCTCGTGGATTCTCGCACGAGTGGAAAATCGGCTCAAAAAAGTGAAAAAGTCGCACAGTGTACGCCCGGCTTAACGCGGGTAAATGAAGGATGAATCCATTATTTGGTTCTTTTTGGCACAGTGTAATTAACATCTGTTTTTACCTTCTTTGCTGACAAGTTTCAGCTAACACTGTAACCATCCTCGGAGCAACGCCGATCTGCTCTGGGTCAAAGGTCACACCAAGATCCCTAACAGAGGGTTTTGTGTGTGGCACAGAGGAGGAGCTCGGTCTTATCTTCATTCAGCTGTAGAAAGTTTCCTGCCATCCAGTTTATAATAGTCCAAAGCCCCATTTTAAACCCCCTCTACTCTCACAGATCTCCGCCACTGAAACAGGCCTCTTCCATGTGTGAGTTTATGTGAGTGTAAATGAGGTGTTTTATGATGTCAAGTTGGGACAGAATAACATTTCCAGCCATTCTAGTGACTTTTGAGGTTGTTATACAGTAATTAGTGTATTATTGGACAGGTAGCTTCAAGCGGAAAGATAAATGATGTTGGAAAGCAACATGACCTGATGACGGTGTGAGAAAGAGTCTCTCAAGCAACTGGCAACCTTAAAGGGATGCTAGGGAAATAGACAGTTTCATTAAAACAATAAATGAGGGGCTGCTATTAATGTTTTACTGCAAAAGACGCTCACTCTGTTGTTTACAGACTTTCATAATAATCCAGATTGAATTAAAGTAAAACTAAATCATCTACAAGCAAAATGAGTGAGTGATTCTTATCTGAGATAATAAAAATCTCACCTGAACCAAGAGAACATTATTAGTTCCACTATTAAACCGTGCATGAAGCATTTGGGTATAATGAGCCTACCAAGCAGATTATATTTGAATATCATTCCAGGCTGTGTCACATGATTTCATTCAGACGGCTCAAAGGTAGTGCAAATTACTCACACACACAAACACACACACACACTAGCTTTTCAGGTGCACGCTGTCCTCACACTCACACACACACACACACACACACACACACACACACACACACACACACACACACACACACTCTCTCTCTGCTCATTTTCCTCACCATCTCTCCATCTTGCCTTCAGTTCTCTCTTACTGATTTATATTTTCTTTCCCTCCTCGTCATATTTAATTTCTTTCATTCAATCCTACATCTGCCTGTCAACTCCGTTCAACCATGACACTGGTTGGTGTTCAGGAAACTTAAATTTTCCAAATGCTTCCATAGCTGATGGAGTGTTCCTGCTGCCTAAATCTGCTTTACATTTAAATAACAACCTCTCTGGATAATGCATGTTCATTTTTAGTGACTCGATCCTCTCTAACTTGCTAGTTTAGTCCAGTTTGGACAGCAGGGTTTTTTATTTTATTTTTTATCTCACATCATTCTGGGTGACGTTCTCTCATCTTGAACTGCCCACCAGTGCTCAGAAACATTGTGTTGGGGTGTGTGTGTGTGTGTGTGTGTGTGTGTGTGTGTGTGTGTGTGTGTGTGTGTGTGTGTGTGTGTGTGTGTGTGTGTGTGTGTGTGTGTGTGTGTGTGTGTGTGTGTGTGTGTGTGTGTGTTTGTGTGTGTTTGTGTGTGTTTGTGTGTGTGTGTGTGTGTGTGTGTGCCTCTAAAATTGGCTATTTGGTTTGTAAATGGAGACAGGGAGAAGGTTTAGATTTTCCTGGAATGAAGATCGATGTTGTTTGACTCAGACAACAAACAGGGTGTAGTTTCAGGAATCACCCTATAATTTAGAATTTGCCCACTTTGGCAGCAAATGCTCCCCATTTAATGGCTTTTCCCCGTTATTATTCCCAAAAATCTTATTTTTCCTCTGTTATTTCTGCCTCTGAGTTATTTTCTTCCATTATTTTCTCACTGTGCATGCTCTTGTCTATGCTCTTGTCTATCAGTCACACAGCAACTACAAGGCTGACATCATTGTTGCTTGCTTGTCTGAAGCAAAAAGAGGCAAAGTGCTGCAGATTAGAATCAGAAGAAGGATTATGGGTTACGCTTAGGGCTGCCCAGGGATAAAAGGAGAATGCATGAAACTCAATCCTGTCATCAAAGAGGCGACGGAGACAAAAGAGCCAGACCTGGTGGTGGTGGAGGATATGTGACTGAGGTTTCACCAGGTCCTAATGCCAAGGCACATGAGGTAGAACAGCTTAGCAGCCAGCTTCTCTAAATGGTCTATCTTAAAGTGGTACTTCACTGAAAACCCATTTTTTATTTATTATTTCTGATTATAATTGGTCAGTCTGAGTTTTTCATGCAGGCTAAACATGAAAATAGTCTCCTACACCTATCTCCTGCATTAGCTTCTGATAGAAAATAGACAGTGAAACTTAAGTATTAGAAAATCCTGACAGATCTGCGTCACACTGTCACTTAACATCCATGGACTCATCCATCTTGACTCACAATGGGGAATGCTTTTGTTGGTTTAGCTTCCAGGAAACAGCGGAGAACGTCACAGCTAGTAGAAGCTAACTGTTAGCATTAGCAACTCTACCACACAAATCAAATCGAAGATACTTTATTAATCCCAGAGGGAAATTAGAGTTTCAGTACACACAATTCAGAGATCAGACATACAGTACATGGGCAAGACACATGACAAGAATTGGTGACTGTGGTCATTCGCAACCCTGAGTCGCGCTACCTTAATAGAGATAAGAGGGTTAAATGAGGGTTGGTTCAGGTGGAGGGGGAAAAGAGGCACTTCAGACTTACCCTCCACAGGGAGGGCAGCTTTGCTATGCAAAAAAAACACCTCAGACAGAAATGCAACAGACTTCAGACAACACAACATAAGTGTCCACTAGGTGGGATGGTGGGTTGGGTCTATCTCCACTTCAGTTCCTGCAGCCACTACAAGCAGCGCATGTCACCTCAGTATGGATAGGGGCAGGAGTATTGGGGGTTGGAGGGTTGCAGTGACCCTGGAACGTTTCAGCGGCCTTCCCGCAGTCCCGCCCAGGCTGGGAAATGAGACAGAGTTGAGTTGCCATAGCGACGGCACATTCCACATATCTTCTGAGGGGGGAGTTTTCGTTGGAGCCTTGCAGGCTCAAGGGCGTCAGATTCCGATTAGAAATTGTTTTGGGGCCAGACAGAGATAATTTCTTCTCTGTCTTACAGTTTGTTGGTCCTGAACCTCTCAAAATGCCAGTAATGGACATTAATCTATCCCAATCCGTACTGATTCGTCCACTCTCTCCTTGATGGCATCCATCTTTTGTGCCAATAATGAATCTCGGCCAAAGTTCCAAGCTTACGATTCATCTCGTCAATTATGTGAGTCTGTGAATTCACAGCGCGGTGCAAACCATCTCTGAGCTCCGGGATCAGGCCAATATTCCTCGGCAGCTCGTTAATTTTCCGGTAAGCCAGGTAGCCTCCAAGGCCAATGAGCAGGAAACCTGACACCAACACCACGAATATTCACACATCTTCAGAGTCCTCCACAGACAGCTGAGTTAAACAAATGAAGTTCCACTGTTTCCAGGGGTCCATGATGTGTCCAACTGGGTCTGTCGCAGAGGGGCATCCGGGAGCCCCTTCTCCCGTTGTCATCGTTGAAAAAATTTTATCAATCGCGTTGAGAGACCAACTGACAAGATCCATTTTAGTGAATTTCAGTTTCCAGAAAAAATGCAGAAGCAGCCGTGCACCCAGCACTCACAGATGGACGAAGGGCCTTGAGGATAAGATATGGAGGAGAGGAGGAAAAAAGTGTCTACACCCTCCAAGAGCCGAAAGAAGAAACTCCCCAAGCTTGTGTTATTTGTGACGTTGCAGAGCACACTGAGTCAATAGTAGAGTTGTGTTGCTGTTAGCCAATCAGTGGTGAGATGTCCAAATATCAGGAAATAAGACTCTAAATCCTGCTGTCTGAAGCTCTCTTCTGATCTGGCTCACTTCTAGTTCCTGAAACAGGTGCAAGTGAGGATGAGCCAGGTCAGGCTGGGCGGGCTGTGATCCAGGGGGCAGTGGGTGAAGTAGCATGAGCTGGCTGGCTGGCTGAGCCTGTGACCATGGAGGAGATTAGACAGGATTAACTGTGGGGTAACCTTCCCAAAGTGTCAGTCTGAGATCCAGAGAGCTGTGAAGCTGGGAACCCAGCCCCAGGGCCCCCCAGCTCTCCTCATGGGCTCTGTTTAGCACTCGGCACCACTCAAAGGGAAATAGAATAGTGTGTGGCTGTGTTGCCAAAGTCAGCCGTTAATGATTTCTTCTGTAGCAAAGCTGGATATCATTTAAACAAATAAGAAGCCCAGAAAAGCACAAAACAAAATACTCCTGTTGTCATTTTAAAAGCATTCTCTGGGTTTTTATCTGATTGGCTAGTGTTTAGGTTGTAACTGGAACGTGTGCAGTGATCAAACGTACACAGCAGAACAGAGGGCTGAGTGGGTGATACTGCACTGCAACGACACACACACACACACACACACACACACATGCACGCACCATCCATTGAAAGCGTTCACCTCCCACCTTGTACAAAATAAAGCTCTCAACAAATACCTCACAAGATGAAAATACAATGTCAGTCTGCAGGGACTTAAGCAAGGGGAGTTGCACAATAAGATGGATTAAAAAACTGAGTGAGAAACATAAAGGATGCATGGTGATCCTGGGGAATTTAATGCTTATTGGTTTTATTTACATGTTTTCAACAGCTTCCTAGTTTACTTAAAAGAAATGATGTGTATGTTAATGAATTATAAATCAGTCTAAATCCAGATATGATGAAGACTGCTAGAAAAATTGAGATGTACCTACAAGTAGAGCTGTGCAGTTAATTGGATTTGTAATCCAATTTTGAACTCGGCTCCAGGTGATTACAAAACTAATAACATTGATAAATAATAATAAAATTACTTAGTCACATTTTGTTTTTGTAAGCATTTTCTTCTTTTGTCACACCTTTTGAACGATGCTCACTTCCTTCTGATGGCTGAAACTTGGTTCAGGAAAGTAGGACTGGACAATAATTCAAAAACAATAGATGTGTGGTCTGATAGAAGCAAAATGGGTCAATAAAAACATCAATCAACAGTTTTCTTTCTTGGTTCATCGTCGACTATTAGGTAGCTTAATACTAGAGTCATTACTCACGCCCAACCAATCAAAACGTAGACCCAGGCACACTCCGTCACCAAGCCCTGCCCTCTCAAACCAAAACAGAGAGCATGTGACTTAAACAAGTTGTCGTAGCAAGGAGAGGTGGAGGAATGTGTCCCAAAAAAAGGTTACAGCAGTTCACCAGCATGGCAGAATTAAAGTTTTTACAAGTCTGACAAAAAATTAAAATAACACCAACCAAAGTTACTTTAGTAAAAATGGCAGACAAAGGGCAAAACACAACAGCTACGCGCATCACAAATATTCTTATTAATTCCAGTTATGACTGCCCATCTGTGGGGTGTCATCCTATCATAGTTCTCACACATTAATTATCTTAAATAAACACACTCACTTCCTGTCTAAACAACTTAGCTTCCAAAGCAGCTCTTCTCTCCTCTTTTAGCAGGACTCTCATCATTGATCATCTTGAAAGCAAAATTTGTTAGTTATAGTGTTTGAATTGATTGTTACAAAAATATTTTAACTGAGATTTAGCTTCTATACTTAAAATTTTTATGGCAGTCTTTATTGTTTCTAACGGGAATAACTCTTTTGTTCTGAAAACATTCTAATACTACAACTCTGCTAGTTGCAGTTTCCTTAACCCTCTCAGGCTCAAAATAAGTTTAGATAAAAGGATGAACAACTAAGTCCTTCAGGGGTACTTCTGAGTTAAAAAATGCTCATGAAATACGTATGTGGAGTAGGTTTTAACGTTGCAAATCTGCAACGCCTGCCTCCAGAGAGTTACATGGGAACTCAGTCAAATAGTCATGGTTTTAATATTGACCCAAAATTTTTTTTTTTAATTTCTATAAACCAAAAGCCTGTCAGACCAGTGTTTTGAAAAGTCAGAGTCGGGACACCACAGTGGCACCAAGAGCTACAGGGGTCTTGAGATGATTTCCAGATCTTCATGTTTGCATTTTCATGTCTTGACAAATGTTAATTTGGTGATCTGAAGCTGAAAAGTTTGAGAAACACTGGACAATTGATGATGGTGCAAAGATAATCTATGTTACTCCGAATCAACCTTAAACACATGCTGCATTTCTTTACTTTCTCTTTGTGTAGTACTTATTAGAGATGAAGAGCCTAATTCTGCCTCCAGAGCACATCCTGAAGAGGGGAGACAGCGAGGCAGTAGCATATGCTTTCTTCCACCTGCAGCATTGGAAGCGAGCAGAAGGAGCCTTAAACCTGTTACACTGTACCTGGGAGGGCAGTATGTATTTACCTTCTGTCAATGTTGTCACGATTCATCACATTCTGTTATCTTTGAGGCGTGTTATTTTACTGTTTTTGCTTCTGCAGCCTTCCGGATAATTCCATACCCCCTGGAGAAGGGTCACCTGTTTTACCCCTACCCAGGATGCACAGAAACAGCAGATAGGGAACTACTGCCCTGTACGTAGCACCCCGCTGACCCTCTGTGTGTTTCTCCATTTTTGTTTGACGGTGTTTTGTTCTTTTCCTGCAGCTTTTCACGAGGTGTCTGTATACCCAAAAAAAGAGCTGCCCTTCTTCATACTCTTCACAGCAGGCCTTTGCTCTTTTACTGCCATGCTGGCCATGCTCACGCATCAGTTTCCTGAGCTCATGGGTGTCTTTGCCAAAGCAGTAAGTGTGAACATGGCACCATTTAGGTGTTTTTAACCTGGACTTGCTTCACTATCATTTAGGGCTGGGCGATACGGCCTAGAAATAAAATATCTGATTAAATTTAAAAAAATTTGATTTATGATATTTTTCCGATTCTCTCTCCCCCTCAATTATTAAGAATAGCAATACGTACAAATGTAAAGCACCCTAAAGCCAATTTTGTTTTTTATTTATTCACAAGCAAGACAAATGCAACCCTCATTTCTGAGATGAATAATTACTACATGAACACCCTCTTGGTATAAAAGTGCCACGCTCCATGTCCGTCGCAGCAAACCCAAACCAATTCCAAACAACGGATGATTTAATTATTTTCTTAGGAAAAACTTCCCACTCTCACCGGTGGCCATAGAGTCACTTCCTGTTGCTGTTTCGTGTGCTTGCTGTGACGTTGTTGTCGCGGTTATGTGAAACTAACGCTACGGAAGCTCTGGGGGACCAAAAAGGTGCTGTTACATAAAAATTAGATTTACTTTTTTTTTTAATCGCCCACAACAAAAAATTTGATTTAATTCATTAAATCAATTTATCGCCCAGGCCTACAGGTGCTGGCCAGTAAATTATAATATCATCAAAAGGTTGAAAATATTTCAGTAATTCCATTCAAAACGTGAAACTTGTACATTATATTCATGCAATGCACACAGACCAATGTATTTCCAATGTTCATTACATTTAAATTTGATATTCATAAGTGACAACTAATGAAAACTCCAAATTTGGTATCTCAAAAAATTAGAATATTCTGAAAAGGCTGAATATAGAAGACACCTGCTGCCACTCTAATCAGCTGATTTACTCAAAACACCTGCAAAGGCCTTTAAAAGGTCCCTCAGTCTTGTTTTGAAGGCACCACAATCATGGGGAAGACTTCTGACTTAACAGCTGTCCAAAAGACAATCATTGACACCTTGCACAAGGAGGGCAAGACACAAAAGGTGATTGCTAAAGAAGCTGGCTGTTCGCAGAGCTCTGTGTCCAAGCACATTAACAGACAGGCGAAGGGACGGAAAAAATGTGGTAGAAAAAAGTGTACAAGCTCTAGGGATAACCGCACCCTGCAGAGAATTGTGACGACAAACCCATTCAAAAATGTGGGGGAGATCCACAAAGAGTGGACTGCAGCTGGAGTCAGCGCTTCAAGAACCACCACGAGGAGACTCATGAAAGACATGGGATTCAGGTGTCGCATTCCGTGTGTCAAGCCACTCTTGAACAAGAAACAGCGCAAGAAGCGTCTCGCCTGGGCCAAGGACAAAAAGGACTGGACTGATGCTGAGTGGTCCAAAGTTATGTTTTCTGATGAAAGCAAGTTCTGCATTTCCTTTGGAAATCAAGGACCCAGAGTCTGGAGGAAGAGCGGAGAAGCACAGAATCCACGTTGCATGAGGTCCAGTGTAAAGTTTCCACCGTCAGTGATGGTGTGGGGTGCCATGTCATCTGCCGGTGTTGGCCCACTCTGTTTCCTGAGGTCCAGGGTCAATGCAGCCGTCTACCAGGAAGTTTTAGAGCACTTCATGCTTCCTGCTGCTGACCAACTTTATGGGGATGCAGACTTCACCTTTCAACAGGACTTGGCACCTGCACACAGTGCCAAAACCACCAGCACCTGGTTCAAGGACCATGGTATCCCTGTCCTTGATTGGCCAGCAAACTCGCCTGACCTTAACCCCATAGAAAATCTATGGGGTATTGTGAAGCGGAGGATGCAATACGCTAGACCCAACAATGCAGAGGAGCTGAAGACGACTATCAGAGCAACCTGGGCTCTCATAACACCTGAGCAGTGCCACAGACTGATCGAGTCCATGCCACGCCGCATTACTGCAGTTATTGAGGCAAAAGGAGCCCCGACTAAGTATTGAGTGCTATACATGCACATTCTTTTCATGTTCATTCTTTTCAGTTGGCCAACATTAGAGAAACAAACATTTTTTCATTGGCCTTTAGAATATTCTAATTTTCTGAGATACCAGATTTGATGTTTTCATTGGTTGTCACCTATAAATATCAAAATTAAACGTAATAAACATCGGAAATACATTGGTCTGTGTGCATTGCATGAATATAATGTACAAGTTTCACGTTTTGAATGGAATTACTGAAATATTTTCAACCTTTTGATGATATTCTAATTTACTGGCCAGCACCTGTACTATCATTGCCTTATCATCCCTTCTGCTCAGAGTCCAATGTAATTAGGTGAGTCTGTCCTAGTGAGTGTCTTCTGTCGCTCTGTAACTCCAGAGGCTCATGGGAGTCTGAATGACCCGTGCTGCACCTTAAGTTTCCTGTAAAATCATAAATGAATCCACTACTTCCTTTTCTGTTTATTCACCACAGAAAGGTTTTATAGGTCATTTGCATATTTTAGATAATCCTTTGTATGTGAGCTGCTTGTTTTTTTACACCACAGAAAATGCGTATTTCTCTTTGTGGACTGGGTTTTTACTGAAGGCCCAGCGAGCCTGGTTTGTGTAACGATAGGATGAAGCAGCTGAGGGAGGAGCTCGCTGCTTTCTGAGGAAAAACAGATTTCAGGGAATCCGTAGCTCCGAGGCAAGGTCCTGGTATCTGCAGCATATTGTTCCTTTTATTTATTGACAAGAAACATAAGCATTCTGAATAAATTAAATGTGATTAAAGAGTATTTTTGTTAATTTATCCAGCATGGATCATTCATCATTTGTTGAGATTGTGTAAATGTCAGAAAACCGGAGGAACCCACAAGCAGATTCAGCTGGAATTTAACCCAAAATTCGAGTGCAAGTTCATTTAAAATGCATCTTTTGTATCTAAAGGAATAAAATGGATATACATTTGGTTAGTACTGGATATATACATTTGGTTATTACTGGATATATACATTTGGTTAGTACTGGATATATACATTTGGTTAGTACTGGATATATACATTTGGTTAGTACTGGATTGGTACATTTGGTTAGTACTGGATTGGTACATTTGGTTAGTACTGGATATATACATTTGGTTAGTACTGGATATATACATTTGGTTAGTACTGGATATATACATTTGGTTAGTACTGGATATATACATTTGTTTAGTACTGGATATATACATTTGTTTAGTACTGGATATATACATTTGTTTAGTACTGGATATATACATTTGGTTAGTACTGAATATGTACATTTGGTTAGTACTGGATATGTACATTTGGTTAGTACTGGATATGTACATTTGGTTAGTACTGGATATATACATTTGTTTAGTACTGGATATATACATTTGGTTAGTACTGGATATATACATTTGGTTAGTACTGGATATATACATTTGTTTAGTACTGGATATATACATTTGTTTAGTACTGGATATATACATTTGTTTAGTACTGGATATATACATTTGGTTAGTACTGAATATGTACATTTGGTTAGTACTGGATATGTACATTTGGTTAGTACTGGATATGTACATTTGGTTAGTACTGGATATGTACATTTGGTTAGTACTGGATATATACATTTGTTTAGTACTGGATATATACATTTGGTTAGTACTGGATATATACATTTGGTTAGTACTGGATATGTACATTTGGTTAGTACTGGATATATACATTTGGTTAGTACTGGATATGTACATTTGGTTAGTACTGGATATATACATTTGGTTAGTACTGGATATATACATTTGGTTAGTACTGGATATATACATTTGGTTAGTACTGGATATATACATTTGGTTAGTACTGGATATATACATTTGGTTAGTACTGGATATATACATTTGGTTAGTACTGGATATATACATTTGGTTAGTACTGGATATATATATTTGGTTAGTACTGGATATATACATTTGGTTAGTACTGGATATATACATTTGGTTAGTACTGGATGTATACATTTGGTTAGTACTGGATATATACATTTGGTTAGTACTGGATATGTACATTTGGTTAGTACTGGATATGTACATTTGGTTAGTACTGGATATGTACATTTGGTTAGTACTGGATATATACATTTGTTTAGTACTGGATATATACATTTGGTTAGTACTGGATATATACATTTGGTTAGTACTGGATATATACATTTGGTTAGTACTGGATATATACATTTGGTTAGTACTGGATATATACATTTGTTTAGTACTGGATATATACATTTGGTTAGTACTGGATATATACATTTGGTTAGTACTGGATATATACATTTGGTTAGTACTGGATATATACATTTGGTTAGTACTGGATATATACATTTGGTTAGTACTGGATATATACATTTGGTTAGTACTGGATATATACATTTGGTTAGTACTGGATATATACATTTGGTTAGTACTGGATATGTACATTTGGTTAGTACTGGATATATACATTTGGTTAGTACTGGATATATACATTTGGTTAGTACTGGATGTATACATTTGGTTAGTACTGGATATATACATTTGGTTAGTACTGGATATGTACATTTGGTTAGTACTGGATATGTACATTTGGTTAGTACTGGATATGTACATTTGGTTAGTACTGGATATATACATTTGTTTAGTACTGGATATATACATTTGGTTAGTACTGGATATATACATTTGGTTAGTACTGGATATATACATTTGGTTAGTACTGGATATGTACATTTGGTTAGTACTGGATATATACATTTGGTTAGTACTTGATATATACATTTGGTTAGTACTGGATATATACATTTGGTTAGTACTGGATATATACATTTGGTTAGTACTGGATATATACATTTGGTTAGTACTGGATATATATATTTGGTTAGTACTGGATATATACATTTGGTTAGTACTGGATATATATATTTGGTTAGTACTGGATATATACATTTGGTTAGTACTGGATATATACATTTGGTTAGTACTGGATATATACATTTGGTTATTACTGGATATATACATTTGGTTAGTACTGGATATATACATTTGGTTAGTACTGGATATATACATTTGGTTAGTACTGGATATATACATTTGGTTAGTACTGGATATGTACATTTGGTTAGTACTGGATATATACATTTGGTTAGTACTGGATATATACATTTGGTTAGTACTGGATATATACATTTGGTTAGTACTGGATATATACATTTGTTTAGTACTGGATATATACATTTGTTTAGTACTGGATATATACATTTGTTTAGTACTGGATATATACATTTGGTTAGTACTGGATATATACATTTGGTTAGTACTGGATATATACATTTGGTTAGTACTGGATATATACATTTGGTTAGTGCTGGATATGTACATTTGGTTAGTACTGGATATGTACATTTGGTTAGTACTGGATATATACATTTGTTTAGTACTGGATATATACATTTGGTTAGTACTGGATATATACATTTGGTTAGTACTGGATATGTACATTTGGTTAGTACTGGATATATACATTTGGTTAGTACTGGATATATACATTTGATTAGTACTGGATATGTACATTTGGTTAGTACTGGATATATACATTTGGTTAGTACTGGATATATACATTTGGTTAGTACTGGATATATACATTTGGTTAGTACTGGATATATACATTTGGTTAGTACTGGATATATACATTTGGTTAGTACTGGATATGTACATTTGGTTAGTACTGGATATGTACAGTTGGTTAGTACTGGATATGTACATTTGGTTAGTACTGGATATATACATTTGGTTAGTACTGGATATGTACATTTGGTTAGTACTGGATATATACATTTGGTTAGTACTGGATATATACATTTGGTTAGTACTGGATATATACATTTGGTTAGTACTGGATATATACATTTGGTTAGTACTGGATATATATATTTGGTTAGTACTGGATATATATATATTTGGTTAGTACTGCATATATATATTTGGTTAGTACTGGATATATACATTTGTTTAGTACTGCATAAATATATTTGGTTAGTACTGGAGATATATATATATATATATATATATATATATATATATATATATACACTGCTCACAAAAATTAAAGGAACACTTTAAAGAAACACATTAGATGCATCAGAGCTCAATATGAAGTTGGATATCTATACAAATAACGACAGGGCAATGTCTTTTGCATCTAAAGGAATAAAATGGATATACATTTGGTTAGTACTGGATATATATATTTGGTTAGTACTGGATATATATATATTTGGTTAGTACTGGATATATACATTTGTTTAGTACTGGATATATACATTTGGTTAGTACTGGATATATACATTTGGTTATTACTGGATATGTACATTTGGTTAGTACTGGATATATACATTTGGTTAGTACTGGATATACATTTGGTTAGTACTGGATATATACATTTGGTTAGTACTGGATATTTACATTTGGTTAGTACTGGATATGTACATTTCAGGGTATCCGCGAGTCCTTAAAAAGTCTTAAAAAGTCTTAAATTAGCTTTTCCTAATTTAAGGCCTTAAAAGTCCTTAAAAATAACAAATAATCCTTAAATCCAGTTTCTACAGGTCTTAAATTACCAAAGACCCAATAAACAAGATTATTTTATTTCTATAAAATTTTCGTGAATTTCAAGTCCGTGTTCAGCATTTTTGGTGTATGATTTTGGCGTAAGCAGAACTGTACACAGTCTGTTGGTTGTGAAAGGGGGCTATTTTTTTAGATGAGCACATTAGCTGGTTAAGCTAGTGGGAGCTTGCACGATGGGGATGTGCAAGTTTAATGGTAACTGGTTGGCTAATCCCAAGTTCGTGACGTGGTTAGCACCGGTTCCAGACAATAGCTGGAAATTATAGCTTACATTTAATTTTTTTAATTGCTTAAATTTGGTCAAAGTGGCCTTAAAAAAGGTCTTAGAAAGTCTTAAGTTTGGCTCCCTTAAACCTGCAGATACCCTGACATTTGGTTAGTACTGCATATATACATTTGGTTAGTACTGGATATATACATTTGGTTAGTACTGCATATATATATTTGGTTAGTACTGGAGATATATATATATTCATATATATATACATATATATATATATATATATATATATATATATATATATATATATATATATATATATTTGGATAGCGGTACATTTTCTGTATATTGCCCAGCTCTAAAACTGCTATTCAAGAAGTCATCTACACTGGTAGTAATTATTAATGTACTTAATTCACAAAGAAAGGTAAATCTTGAATGATTGTTTCGTCTTTCTCTTATCTAGAAAAAACAATTTTCACACAACATGTTGAAATGTGTTCAGCTGCACTTTTCACCTGAAATTCACTTCTGTACGTTTTTTCTTGCCTCTAAAAAACAACATCCCTCGTTTTAGATGTTTTGAAAGTCGAGCATGTTCAGTTCTCGTGGTGTCACACCTGACCTCGTCTCCAGTGAGAACAAAAAGCCTAATTCATGGAAAATGTTCCAAACTGGAGTTAGCCTTTTGTTTTCTGTTCCAGTTTTAGGTTTATGCTTTACTGCATGTTCTGGAGAAAAAAGAAATATGTTTTTAACTTTTGAATTATAGAAAAATTAATAAATGGAAAATGAAGAATTAATTAAAAAGATGTTTAACGTTATAATGATCTGCTGAAGTTTAATTATGTTTCTCTACTTTCAGTTCTTCAGCACACTCTTTGCACCGCTGGGCTTCTTTGCAGACAAAATGGAAAGCTTCATGCTGCCCAGTTTTTGGCATCAGCTGACTCCGATCTGACCTCATCGCTCGCTCGCTCTCTCTCCCCTACACACACACACACACACACACACACACACAGAAACACAAACACATGTAAACACCAGTCTCACTCAGAATTCTCTGACAGAGTGTTTGCTCTCCTGTCTTCAGCCTTTCGATTCACTTGCTGTATTGTTACTGATGGTTTTGGCTGAAGTCGTATCAACACAGCAACGGCACTCCTAAGAGCTTTTCCAAGAACACATTTGGTACATTTAAAAATATATATCTATATATCACTTGTCATCCTGTTAGTGTGGTGGAATTCAGAAGTTTTAATACCTTAAGAGTCTGACTTAAGATTAGAGAGCGGGTTTTGCTATTCTTAGTTAAACCTGCGTGACTTCAGTAAAGTTCAAAAGTACGATGTCTCATAAATCTCTTTATTCCCTTCATATAATAAACCCATATGTTAAAAATCTATGACCGGGGCCGTTTAAGGTCATTATCCCTTCGTCACAACATATTAGGGCCACAAAAATAAGAGATAAGGAGGATTTTAGTGGCTGTTTTCCAGTTATAGGATAAAAGGTCAAATGTTTAGAGAAAGAACCAACTGATAAGAAAAAGACTCAAAAATAATTTTGCCAAAGATTTTTAGGATAAAAACTAAACCAGCTGTGGCACAGAGAACATTTTAAGACTCTTATTGTGAAAAATTGACTTGTGTGAGTCCAGCTGTGCCCCATGCTGTTTCAATGTAGTTTCACTTTAATCCCACCCATAATCCTCTGTTACAGTAATAATTACAAACAGAAATGTGGCGTTTGTTTCTGTGTCTTATTCTTGAAATAACCAACTTTGAAACCATTCTTAATTCATTTCAACTCTTTTCTTTGACTGCTTTGCTGGTATCATTTTTTTTTCCCCCTTTCTTGAAATTTTGACTTTAATCTTAAAACGGAAACAAAAACCTTCGTTGTGTGTTTTTTACTTTAACTTCAGCTGTTTGGCCCTTCATTAATGCCTTCATAAACTTAATCTGGTCATCTATTGTGTTAACAAAATTCCCTTATTAGTTCATCATGCTAATAAACAGCAGCTAAGGGACTAAAAACACATTTATTATTGCATGGTAAAACTTGCTGCGTTGTTCCAGTTGATTAAATCCATGCTGTCCTAAAGTGTAAATGAATTAATGACAAGATGAAATTAATAATTACAATGAGAATAAGACAGTGTTGATGCTATATTGTCTCAAATTTAGATTAAAAGAGTCAATAAATCAGATATTTGTAATAAAACGTGTTTTTGAGTCCATTCTGGCCTGGAAGTGAAGGAGTGCTGAAGACAGGAGAACATAACTGTACCTTCAAACGGGTTTGTTAGCAAAATTAACAATAAACAACTCTTTTGGTGCAGCCTTTTTGTGTGTTTGATTCCTTTAAACAAGGTTTATTTTTATATGTGCTGACAGATCTAAAAGGTATTTATAGTCCCGACTAACAGCTGATCTTCATACCATAAAGAAGTTAAACACGCAGCTCTTTTATGGTTGATGTGTTCAGGCAAGCTAATCATGACTGTGCGGGAGGAGCTTGCTCATGAGAGATAGTAAAAATAAATTAAAACGATGATTGGTGAGGCTGATATGCTTGTGGGTCATTTCTTTGGTTTAAGTTTCCACTCGGTGCAGCCACTTGACCTAGTTAGGCAGCCGGTTCAGTAGCTTTAACTCTGCTGCCAAGTGTGTCCACAATGATTCTCCAGAAATCTGCCTGTCCCTGTTGACTTATTTTATCAAAATGACAAAATTATCTGTGCTGCAACTATCCAAATGATCCTTTTTTAACAATTCAGATTAAATAATAACTTGTTTGGTGTGAAAAACAGATCTAACTGAAATGTGTTTTAACTTTGTTACAGTATGAATTACACTTTAACTTTCTTCCTGTGCCCATCTGGGCCCCTCTTTCCCCAGGGATCGTGTTCTGAAATGTGACATTAGGATGTCCTGTAATATCACCGGGATGGCAGGCAATGCCTTTGATGCCAGCTCCTGGTGTTGTTACGCTGGTCACATTGGGTGAAGGACAAGTCACCAGGCATACTCTTCCATGACAAAAATGAGTTTAAAGAATGTACGGTTTGTTTTAATCTGTAAAACTATTTTATAGATTATGTCATGTTTAAATCATAGGGATGTTATACATTCAGTTTGCTTTTATTGGCCTTTTGTTTATTCTTTGGTATTACCTGATGTCGAACTTGCTGAACTTCAAAACACAAACCCGTCTCGATTTATTATTTTTATCCACTCTGAGGGTTGTTGCACAACTAAAGGCGTGGGAAGACGGCTTCGATAGAACAAAAGGACTGTGGAGGAGTAACTGAGGGTGGATCAACAGGAGTCTATAGAACCAGTGAAAATCTTGTGGTTTTCCAAATGGTTCAGATGAAGGCAACGTGACTTCTTTGGGTTTTTTAAAGAAGTTTTGCTTTCGAGGAGCTTTGTGAATCTGACTGGAAAATGGGAGAGCTGCACTTATAAACTGTAGCTGTCTGTTGTTTCTTAACTAGCTGAAACTACTAATGAATACACCTCCCTACCCCCAGAGGAGCCGTTTATGTCGTTATGACCTATTGTGTTAGAATGTTTGTTTTGATTAGATGCAGGAGGGTGTGACCTAGACTGAAACTGTTTTGGAATTGGGTTTAGAGCTGCATTGTAGATGCTGGAAAGATGAACCATGGGGTCTCCTCCTTTGTTTAATGTAGTTGAAACAGCCATTCTAACACAATAGGTCTTAACGACACCAGCGGTTACTCACGGGGAAGGCAGGACGGGTGTCCATAGGTATTTTTAGCTTGTTAAGAAATATCAGACAGCTACAGTTTGTAAGCACAACTCCGATATTCCAGTCACTTTTGACAAAGATGTCCAGTTGTCTTCATTTTAACCCTTTGGATCACCGTGACCTGATTGGCAGAGAAGCTTCACCAGCATCTTGTGGTTTTGCATCTAAAAAGTAAAAATTCAATATACTCATATAAAGACTCAAATGGCAAAACAAACAATGCTTGTAATACAATTATTTATATTTTCAGAAACATTTATAGGAACTTATCCATCCATCCCATTCATTTTCAGCTGCATAACCAAGGCTGGGTTGTGGGGGCAGTAGCCTAAAGAGGGAGGCCCAGCCTTCTCTCTCCCCAGCCCCTTGGGCCATCTCCTTCGGGGGAATCCTACGGCGTTCCCTGGCCAGCCGAGAGAAGTAGTCCCTCCAGCGTGTCCTGGATCTTACTTTAGGTCTTCTCCTGGTTGGACGTGCCCGGATAACCTCACCAGGGAGAAGGCCAGGAGGCATCCTAACTAGATGCCTGAGCTACCTAAACTGGCTGCTCTCATTGCTGAGGAGCAGCGGGTCTACTCCAAGCCCCTCCCAAATGACCGAGCTTCTCACCCTATCTTTAAGGCCCAGCCACCCTGCGGAGAAAGCTTATTTCGGCCACTTCTATTCGCGATCTCATTCTTTTAGTCACTACCCAAAGCTTGTTACCATAGATGAGGGTAGGAACTTCGATCGACCGGTAAATCGAGAACTTCGCCTTCCAGCTCAGCAATCTCTTCACCACAACAAGTCGGTGCAACGCTCACATCACTGCAAATGCTGCACCAATCAGCTTATTGATCTCGTGCTCCATATTTCTCTCATTCATGAACAAGACCCCGAGATACTTACACTCCTCCACTTGGGGCAGGACGTCATCCCTGACCCAGAGAAGGCATTCTACCCTTTTCCGACTCAAGACCATGGTCTCAGATTTAGAGAAGCTGATTCTCATCCCAGCTGCTTCACATTCAGCTGCAAACTGCTCTTGCTAATGCTGGAGATCAAGTTCTTATGAACCCAACAGAACCACATCATCTTCAAAAAGCAGATACTCGATCCTTAGGCCACCAAAACGGATCCCTTCAATACCTTGGCTGTGCCTAGAAACCCTGTTCATAAAAGTTATGAACAGAATCGGTGATAAAGGGCATCCATGGCGGAGTCCAACTCTCACGGAAAACGAGCCCAACTTACTGCCGACAATGTGGACCAAGTTCTGATACCAGTCATACAGGAACCTAACAGCCCGTTCTATCTACTTGAACTGCCAGGACAGGTTAAAAATAACTAAATAAAATGTAAAGATTCCCCCACAGACCTTCAAAAACTTTAGATTTTTCTGAATGTTTCAAATCTTGGGTTGGATGTGAAAATATGGCCACAGGATATTCCTAAGGTAAAATATGTTTTGAAATAAAAAATTCTAATATGAAATTAGGGATTTTTAGACATTCTTAAATGAAATATGAGCATTTCTTGTTATACCTTCCCAGGCATTTTAATGCACAGATCGATCTGAATCAGTGTGTGTGTGTGTGTGTGTATATATATATATATATATATGTATATATATATATATATATATATATATATATATATATATATATATATACAAGCAGAATACATTTTAAAACAGGCTGTCTGGCTAGTAATTGACTTTAGAATTGAAGTTATTTAGTCTCATTAGAAGCACTTTTCCTTTAGCCTAGTGGACTAAACCAAATTCTTGCTATTCGCATATATAGTCTGGCTTGCCAGGCTACTTTTCCTTGGCTTCTTCTTCTCATTACGTGAACCTAAAACAATTCCCAGACCCTTAACTTGCACAGCTTGGTTGTCATGTTCATTTAGATCCATAAATCCCTCAGAGATTTGTTTCTTCAAAGGCCTGACATGGCTCTACTAAATGTTCAATTCTTTAAACAACTTTTTTCATTTTTGCAACATCTTGGTCCAATTTCACGAAATACTCTACTTCTCAAAAACCACCTAGGGGCTGCAGACATATCTGCAAAGGGACTAAAAGCGCAGTTGCATACGATCACATTATAAATGTGGTGTGTCAGTCTGTGATGAGAGAATAAACATTCCATTAAGCTTTTGCAACAATGGGAAAGTGATGAGAAAAGCAGCATTTGTGATGGTGACATAAAGCACATTAGGCAGTTTAGATCTCAGCAATGGGACCCAACTTTGCTCACAGCCTCAAATAGGTTTTTATGTGCTGACCTGGATTGTTCGTTTTTTGATAACATTACATGGTGCAACTAAATTTGAGCCACGATAATGCTTTTTTTTTTACGTTATGCTGTATCACCAACTTTGTTGGGGAGAAAAAATGCAATTTGTTGGGTTTTTTGTACTGTTTTTGTCTGCAGTCGCTCAGGAGGCATAGATAAAACTGCAAGGAAAAGAAGAACAGAGGTCAAAAGGAGAAACATTTTAAATGATGCAACCAGACCAGAATACGTTAAACTTATTACTGTCAAATATTCAGCATATTGTGCAAAAATATATCAAATAGCAAGTTCTGTTTTTTGTTTAAACTTTTTGTTTCATCAGTCTACAACTTCACAGCCAAGTCTGCAGTCTTAACAAAATCATTAACAGTTCTCCTTTGGGTTCACACCACCACTATCTGACTTTTAAGCATTTATGTTGCTGCTTTGAATCTTGTTTTTGTGTAAGAGGCACAAATAACATCTCACCCATTTGAGGAAATTATGTTTATGCTAAAGGATTGATAAGCTAATGGCTAGTCTGAATGCAGCCAAGACCAAAGTGCATTTCTATCTTAAAGCAGAGTTTTTCGCACTTTAAGATATTGTTTTCAAATTGGTTTCAGTGGTTCTTGATCCATAACCTTTAGCATCTTCACATTGTACAGCATCCTATCGCCCTCTCCTGACCAGAAACTGCACTTAACAGTTTTATGGTTCAATTAAGAACACTAGTGTGCCAGTAGCTAGTATAAAGGCTAGCAGTTACCTCTATCAGTTAGCCAACTGATAATAAGCACAAGTAGAAGAAGTTTGCATATTTTGTTGGCATCATGGTGAAGCATGGAAGTAAATGTCGGCACAGTCTACACTCATTTGAGGGAGCTAAAGGAGGCAACAAAATCATGGACTGATGGTGACCTAGCGCCATCCAATCACCTTCATAAGAGCACAGGGGAGGAGGGGTGACTGTACACAAAATGTTGACAAAAGAAGTCCCGGTACGCTGAGAGTCCGTATAAATATTGATGTTTAAGTTGAAACTGGATCCGTTCGCGGGCTCCCACTTGGTGTGGTAGTTGAGGGCTTCCAGGGGAACTGGGCCCCCCTTAGCTGCCCTGTAATTGGAACCCTTACGACATGTAATACATTTTGTTTTTGTCTAACAGTGTGGATATTTTTACTTTGTGGTTTATTAAATGTCAGTTTGCTTGTGTTGACGTTAGGTCGTTGTTACTGCTAGCTACAACAGTCTGTTGCGGGGTTGTTTACGATAGCTGTCATTTTACTTTCAACCAGTAGAAGAGAGAATCAGGAAACTGATTTATTGATTGCTGCGATGGACTTGCTCTCTGTCCAGGGTGTACCCCGCTTGATTGTCCATTGGCCACTGGAGATAGAAACCAGCCCCCCACCCCCACTCCACGTGGACAAAGCGGGTTCAGACAATGGATGGATGGATTGATGATTTATTGATAGCTTTAAAACTGCTTCATTCTTCAATGTCCTTTCATAAATTAGTTAATTTGAAAACATCAATTACTCATTCATAACTTATTCATTTGAAATAATGCATTGTTTTATTATTTACTTCAAGTGACATCAGTCAAGATAAAGTTTGGTGATTTTTGATTAAAAAAACGTTTTGCTGTACATGTTTTTTTGGGCATGATGCATCTCCTCCATGAAACAAGGATGCACCTAAAATTCTTGACTTTGCTGCAGCTGGTGATCGTCGCAGCGTGTAATGTAAATGAATCTAAATGTGACAGTTAAACATTGAAGCTATTTTAAGATGGCCTTGGTCTTGGCTCTGCTTGAGCTAACTGTTAACTGATCAGTCCAGACTGTAACCATTTATTTGAAAAGTAAGATAATAAATATTTATATCTTTTACACAGAAACACATTCAAAATGTCCTAGCAGGTTATTTAACTAGAATAAACAGGATTTCTGTTAACATTGTCTGACCATTTTGGTAGTTAAATGTATTAGCAGCAATAGTAGTATTATAATGCAGGTTATGCAACTCCCTTACCTGAGGAAGCCCAGCATGTTTTAGTTGTTTCCCTGCTTCAACACATGCTTCAACACATCTGATTATAATTAGCGAAAGATTAGCAGGCTTCTGCAGAACTTGATGAGCTGCTGATTAGGTGAATCATGTGTGTTAGAGAAGGGAAACAACTAAAACATGCTGGACACCGGCCCTTGGGGAAGATAGTCGACCACCCTTGTTAAAGTGATTTGTTGCAGTACCACACAATGACTTGTCATTTTATATGATACAATGTCACGATTTCTGAAAAGCAGGCAGTGTCTAAAGACTGCAAACACCCTGTGAACATTTATAACAGCATAAAATATAACTGCTCACCTCATACCAAACATATAAGTCTGCTTCTTAAATGTTCTTAATATCGTTAAAAACATTTTGTTCTCAACGAGCATACGAAACCTGTAACCGGGCTTCATTTCCAGTTTATGAAGAAAGGTTTGGAAAAAGTCCAAGCATCAAACGCTTTTGCTGTCACAATATTCCGCTTTGGGAACGTCCTTAAGGTTTAGTCGGTCAGCCAGGAATTCTCGCTAAGTTATGTCCAGCCAATCAGGTTGCTTGTAGGGCTTGCAGGTGTGAACGTCCACCACTTCCTCACAGTCCTGGCACTCCACAGCGCAGCACCACTTGAACTTGCACTCACACTTGGTGAGACGTTTGACTCGCATGGTATCATAGCCTCGTCCACAACACATGACCTCACAGCCGTCTGTGCCTCGTGAGGACTTCCTGCACACCCTGCCAGCTGTGCCTAAGGAGCCTGTAAAAGGACATGAGAAGTGAAACAATTTCTTTTTTTTCTTTTGTTTCAAGATGGTGAAAAATGTTGTCTCTGCATCGTCAAAATAAGACCAACCTTAATAAAATCAGTGGAACCTCCATCAAATAATAATAATAGTTATACATTTTGTTTAAAAGCACCTTTCAAAACACACAAGGTCACTTCACAAGATAAAACACAATAAAATACTGTAAAATACCAAGAATGAAACAAATCAGTCATAAAAACAAGTCATGGTAGGTTTGAACAGTCTTGAGTCTGGATTTGAAAAGGGTGAGGCGGTCAATGCTTCTGATGTCTGGGGGAGTGCATTCCAAAGATGGGGAGCAGAGCGCCTGAAGGCTCTGTCCCCCATGGTGCATCAAAATCAAAGACGGCCTACAGGAAGGGCCACCGTTTGGCAAACAGCAGTAGAATTTTTAAAGAGCAAGTCACCCCCTGCCAGTTTTACTCCACCCACAGTTCCTATTTGAAAATTGTGCCAAAAGCACACATTGCCAATGACTAACAGTTCCCCACACATCTCTTCCAGTTGACAAACACACTAACATTCACACCCCCTCGAATGGAGAAACAGCAGCACACTTCCTTGTCTGGAGGATTTCTCCACACTTCCTTCACCAGAGGAGAAGGAGGAAGGTTTTTTGAAGTAGGAAAGTAACCTGGACCTTGTCATTTTGTATTGGTCTGTGAGTTTCTCAAGGCCACCAGGGCTGAGCCAGCTGGAGGAAAGGCAGAGATTCGACTGCTTCTATACCCTACAGAGGCAGTGCAGCAGTCATCACACTGTACTACATCATAGTGTACCAGTTTAGCCAATAGCAATGGCTGCTTCGAGTTTTAATGTAGTGTAGACTTTTAACCTACAATGAACAATGATGCATTAATAGAAATGGAAAACAGTCAATGAGGAAGTTCACCATAGAAGATGTCCTCTTATCTACTCATGTCCGAAAAAACAGCCCAAGTCTAAATCATTCAAAGTTGATGGCAAAGCCACTTCAAACGAGTGCTGTTCCTGGGCTGCCGCCATCTTTGTTGTTTTACTCCATCACAGCTCTGCCTACATTCATAGAGCATTATGATTGGCCCGGCCTAATGGTAGGCTACAATGGAGCTACAATAGCGTGAGGAGAGACCAACCTGCAGAGCAAAAAGCTTTTGCTTCTTTTGCGGTTTGTCAAGATTTCTAGGCTACACTTTTCCCACACTCTTCATGAAGGTTTAGGCTTCCTGAATGAAAGGTCTCAGATCTTGGCACAATTGTGTCTATGTACTCAAGTGTAAAATCCAAGCTTAAGATCAGATACCAGGTCTAACAAGGGTTCATCTCTGAAGGCAGGAGAAAAGACTGGGAGGAGGGATTCTCCCCTGGGCCTCAGAAAGAGGTGCTTAAAACTGACCAAAGAAAGGATTTGAAGAGTACGCCTGCATGTATCCTTAGGCTGCAAATTCCTAGACAAAAGAGATTAGCAACATGGAGGGTCCAGGGCTTCTTCTAAGTCAGATCACCTTTTAATAAGGGCAGAACAAGCAGTTCTTTGAGTGAACACACCTTCATTACACACCAGTCATCAAAGTGCATCCAAGCTAACTGCAGGGAGGAGGCACAGTGTCTCTTGCACATGCCTTTATACCTATTAACAGTCAACTCCCTCAAGCTCTGCTGAAGAGGCTGGTTTGGAGGAGAAGGCTAAGAAAACATGAGGAATTAAAGAGTTAAATGTCAAATTATTCAACTTTAAGCTGTGGAGGAATGCAGGACTTGAGTGGACAGCTTTTCATTGATGTTAACAGAAAAAACAAAGGAGTCATCATCTGTTTGTCTTACTTTACAATACATTTTAATTTTGCATTTTAATTAAAAGCTTTGGACAGTTTTATTCTTACAAAATATGGACAATGTAAATCACAGCAATATATATTTGTTAAAAAAATACAATAAAAATATAATAATAGGAATTTATTGACATAAGTTTTGTGTTCTAACCATTTATTTCCTTTCACTTTGATGATTATAACTGACAACTAATAAAAATCCCAAATACTGTATCTCAGAATATTAGAATATTGTGAAAAGGTTCACTATTGGAGACTCCTGGTGCCACACTATAATCAGCTAATTAACTGAAAGCACCTGCAAAAGCCTTTAAATGGTCTCTCAGTCTAGTTCTGTATCATGGGGAAGACTGCTGATTTGTAAATACCAACCAGAAGACATTTGATGAGAGCTCAGTCCAGAATATCAATTTTATCTGGAGCTTTTTTACTGGGGACCCATCCTTAACAACACTCACAATATTTTTTATGAATGCTCTGTTTTTTTATTTTTTTTATTTTTTTTATGAATGCAATCTTTTCATTTGTTTCTAGGAGTTACATAAATCTCCCCCTCACCTGCTGTTCGGTCCATGATGCAGTAATCAGGGGAATTCTCGACATACACCAATTCTTTCTTGATCTTCCCCTTGAAATCTCCATCAGCCACCATAAAACCGGTCCCATCCTGGTTCATTGTCACCTCCACGGCGGCATTGTACTTCCTTCGAAGGTAGTCTCCCGTTTGCCTGAAGTCAGACAGGGCCAGCCAGCAGGTTCTCAGCGAGCAGGAGCCACTGACCCCGTGACACTTGCACTCCAGCTTCATAAAGTGCTTCACAGCCTAGAGCGGGGGTCAGAGGTCACAGGGTGTTAAGATGTTGCCCAAAATGAGAGGTGTGTAATCAGGCTTGTGGAAAATGGTGCTGAATAATGAGATGTTTTTTAGGAGAATCCTTGAGCTAAATTAAATATAAGTTTATAAATTATATAAATAAATACTTTACTTAGAAGACATTTGGGTTTAAATGGTTGCTTCTCCAAAGTAAATATATTGAGTTCTCGTTTCAGGCAAACACTACAGGCCCATTTCCACTATAAGAAATTCTGGGTAATTTCATCGGATCATCGTGGTATGCATGTCTCCTTTTAGCCTTCCTGACAGGACCACTTTCCAAGCCATTAGAAAGACCGACCAAGTACCTGCACTGGGGAATGGGTTGGAAAATGGCCTGGTAGAGTTGCTAGGCGGGACTTGTGTTTAGCTCGTGCTGATTGGTTGTAACAGCCAGCATACATGGGTATGACATTGGTAGACGTTACCAAACAACCAGCATTTGTAAATCTGAAAGAGTTCCTGGTGGAATGAAAAGAAAGTAATCAACTTTAAAGCTGCCTTAAAGTCACTGTTTCTATACGCCCAAAGCCAAATGGTGCAGCAGAAATCCTTCACAGCACCATAATCTACCGTTTAGTGTTCTTCTACAAGAACTTTTAATGTTATTGATTTATACCTTCTGATGCTGATCAGTGATGTCACTCACTGCCACAACATACATGATATACTGACATCTTAGCAAAGTTCAGATGGAGCCAGTTTTGTATACCACACCATACCAACTTTATCTGCATAGCACTTGAAACACCCGCAGGACCAAAGTGCTGTACGCAGAACAAATCAAAACAACAGAATCAACAATAAAACCATAGAAGCTAGAATAAATCAAACAGCCAAAGAGGTAAAACAGTAAACTATGCAGACTAAAATATGGTTAAAACTAAGTAAAATGCTCTTAAAATAATAATAAGAATGATTCAAAACTAGTTAAAAGTCATTATCTCAGATGATGTCAAAGACCAGAGAGCAGAGGTGGGTTTAAGCAGTGATTTAAAATCAGACAGTGTGTAGCAGCTCACACAGGTGAGACAGGGCAAGACCATTAAGAGAAGCAAATAAAGGAATTTTAAATTGAATCCTAAAAGACACTGGCAGCTAGTGAAAAGAGGCCAGAAAAGGGAAGATGCACCCAAACTTCCTTGTCCCTGTTAGAGTTGGTTTATGCTTGACGCGTCAGCGAGGTCCGCACGGCTCCGCGCGGAAAAGTTGAGTCATTTTGCGTCATTTTAACAACCACGCCCCTCCACCGCGCCTCCGCACGGCCCAGAATTTCCGCAACGCGCACCTCGGAAAATTTCTAACCACGCGGACGGACGGACGCGGAAAAACATGGCGGACCGGCAAGAACTAGTATGGCAGAGGTTCGTAAATACAGACATTTGTATGATTCAGCTCTCAGAGATCACAGTGATCAACATGTTGTTAATAATTCTTGGAGAGAAATGGCTCGCACTGTCGGAAAAGACGAGAACACTGTTAAAAATGCTGAAATGCCATGTTGTAAACAGTAATTTCTACTTCTACTATTGTGTAGTGTTGGATGTTTGCCGTAGAGCTCCATGCTGCCCCGTTCAGTTTGGGAGAATATTGGCTCACCGCAGAGACGAGCCGCATGAACCATAAACGCTGCGAGTTGTGAAGCGCGTTCCATCCGCGAGCCGCATCACCGCGCGGAAAGTGAATGTGTCAAGCATAAACCAAGCTTTAAGGGGCGGGCAGCAGCATTTTGTTCTATCTGAAGCTGAGAGATACAGGCGTCACTTATTTCTGCATAAAGACCATTACAGTAATCCAAGCAAGTTGTAATGAAGGTGTGGAATATTGTTTCAAAAAGCTCCTGGGTCTGGATTAACTTTACTTTTGCCAGCTTCCTTAAATCAAAAAAAAAAAAAACCTAGATTTAGCAACCGATCTGATGTGGTTGTCTTACTTTAGTTCAGCATCCACTTTGACCCCAAGGTTAGTAACAGTTGGCTTAATGTACCGGGCCAGAGAACCACCTCAATGTTGAGGGTCTCAGTGGACCTACCAAAAACAATCACCTCAGTTTTGTTTTCATTTAACTTTAAAAAGTTCTCGGCTAACCAGACTTTATTTCACCCGGACAGGAAAACGTATTTCAGAGATTTTGAGTTAGATTTTTTAAGTTGGAAATATATTTGAGTGTCGTCTGCATAACAATGAAAAGACATCCCATGTATTGTAAAAATAGAGAGGAGCAGGTACAGTGTGAATGGGAGGGAGCCCAGAACAGAACCTTGGGGAACCCCACACCCGGGCGGGGCAGAGGCGGACACATGGTCACCAAGGCAGATGTAGAATCCATGGTCATGAACAGGTCTAAAGCTGCACCACTCATGCCCCTACTGAGCGTGTCGAGAAAGTAAAATCCCATTATCCACTGTATCAAAGGCAGATGACAAGTCCTGAGAGGACTGAATCATCGTATTTTTCCCATCACCTTCCCGCCTCCCAGATGTTTCCCAGAACAGTGGAAACACGGCGTATGCTTTGTTGGCACTACAAACAACAATGTCTAATATTCTTGCAGTGCATTGTGGGTAACTTGTGACATCAATTTATCGAGAACCGGAGTGTCCAACCCCCAGTCCTCAAGAGCCCCTATCCAGTATGTTTTCATTGTTTCCCTGCTCTAGCACAACTGATAGTGCTGTGTTAAAGGGTTAAATCACCTGTTCAGCAGGTCAGCAACTTCAGCAGAATCACCTACTGATGTTAAAGCTGCTATAGCAAATTTAGGGGAAAAAATGAGCTTCAAATATATATATATTTTTTTGCCTTTTAACAGCTTTCTAACATACCGTAGTGTAACTATGAGTATACTGTGGAGATAAAAACAAAACAAAATAAATTATTAAAGTGGTTCTCAATTTTTTTTCCAAATGCTTTTGCCAATAACACGTTTCAGACTGAACACAACTATTGGACCATCCTGTTGTTGTTCTCACCGAATCGCTGCACTTCCTTGGGTCCTCCATTCATTACGCACTCAGGTACTTAGCAACAGAACACCACTGGTGTGAGAGTACCGCTCAATAATATCAGAGAAGGAGAAACAGCTGGCTACTACCACCTCAACTTCATGACAAACTACCAAAGTTCCAAAAGGAAAACAACATTTGAAGTCAAGGACAACAGAAGACATTTGGACCTAGAAAATTGTGACTGGTGTTCAGCACTGTCTCGTTTCCTACAACATTGTGGGTTTCTGGTTCTGGCAGAAGCGTCGCAGGGAAGATACCCGAGGGGAGGGGTGAGTGTTCCGTGACCGTGTTTGCGTTCAAAGCCTAGCTTTGCCATAACAGCTTTAAGCTGTAAGCCTCTACGGCATGCAGGATAGGGGCCCTCGAGGACCAGAGTTGGACACCACTGATCTAGAACAATTTCTAACACTCACTCAACCTGAACTTCTGTTTTCCTTCTGTGAAGAACGGTGAGTCTGATATTGCCTCCCTGAGACTGTTGATACCGTAAAAAAACGCCTCCAGTCATAACACAGTTTTTTTAGCTAGCAACTTTTCAAAATGTTAAACCTTGAATTCCTTCCCTAAAATATGTGTGTGTGTGTGTGTGTGTGTGTGTGTGTGCGTGTGTGTGTGTGTGTGTGTGTGTGTGGGGGGGGGGGGGGGGGGGTTAAGACAAAAAACTCCAACTGTTGCTCACCATCCGACCACATCTGTTGTTGTGCAGGTTCATGAGCGCTCGGGCGTCTTTCACCATCCTCTCACGAGCGTCCACAAAGTCTTTGGCAAATTTTATGCCATAGTTTATGTTGTCACTGCAGCCTCCCCAGTCAAAACTGCCCTTGTCATCACTGGCTTGCCCATGCTTGTGGCTGTCGCAGTTGCAGATCTTGAGATCCCCTTGACTGCAAGCCCTGGTAATGGCATGGACCACTCCAGCTGAAGAGATGGCATAAACAAATGCTGCTTCTCGGCTGCCTGCATAGAAAGATATATTTTACTTTGGGAAGAAGTAATAGCACTCAAGTTCTCAGTTTAAATAAATAAAAAACCCATGTTCATGTAGATTCCAGGCTCCAGAAGCATTGTTGTTGACTTCTGGTAATGAGATAACAATCCTAGCGACTGCATGTTCACCTTTTCTTTTTTAATTGGCACAAATGGCAGCTTTTTCTGTGTTTTCGTTTCAGACTAAAAGAGATAGGGGTGGGGGGTGGGGGGTATTTGGTCTGGCTGTTCCACCCTCCTGTAGCTCTCATTCCTGCTCACGCAATGAGGCAGAGCACAAGCGATATGTCAGGGAGTGAAGCTTTGTCTGGCTGCCAGAAACATCTACCCAAATATTTATATCTCCTATTACTGTTTATACACCACCAGTGTGGATCTCTCAATCAGCTACTTGTTTTCAGCGAACAGCAACTTTCCTAATCCCCTTTAATTCCAGTGAAGGTAGAAAAGCTCCAAACACTTTTCTGTTTCTATTCAGTGGAAAGTATTTAATGAGACAATCTATTTATTCTCTGCTTATCTGCTAACAGAGGAGACATTTACGATGGTGATGAACTAGAGAGCCTCTGACATAAACAACAATGACACTCACTTCGCAGCATCACTCTGCCAAACACAGTGTGGTCACGGTCCAGTGTGCTGCAGTTCCAGCGGTAGTGTCTGAACTGATGCTGGCACTCTTTGATCCACTCTTTGGCTCCCTCGCTGATGGACTGCATCAAGTCTGGGTGTCGCTGGCAGAGCTGCCGCTGCTTGTTCACCAGACCAGGAATATTGTCGCATATTACCCGTGCACCCAGTGCTCCAATGTACCTGCAGACACACATCCAGACAAACCCTGGTAGTGACGCAATTATACCAGTGCTGTTAGCACCAGCTCATTATCTAATGATTATATAACCATGGTATACTGGACTTTCAGCTCTTGCTGGGGAGGTTTGCAGTTGAATGTAGAGTCACTGGTGTGAGGATCAGCACATCTAAATCTGGGGTAAAGGGTTCTCAACTGGAAATGGGTTGTGCAAACACTAAACTGGTGTGGTGATGGTGATGTTGATGGTGATGGTGAACTAAGCTTCAGGGAGACGATTTTGATTTATTGTTTGATCTACATCCTAACCTTCACCTTTGGTCATGAGGTTTGGGTAATGACCAAAACCACTAAATTGTGAGTACAACCAGTCTAAGCCAGTTTCCTCTTCAGAGTGGCTGAGCTCAGTTTTCAAAATAGGATGAGAGGCTTGGCATGGAGAGACACTCAGCCAGCTGAGATGCCATTTGTGGAGAATGTTCTCTAGGGACTTGTTTTGGACATGTCCTTCTAGGAGTAGACCCTGAAGCGGAACTTGCTGAAGGGTTACATCTCTAGACTGGCCAAGGAAAAGCCTCCCACCAGCTGGTGGATGCAGTGAGAACAATCTGGCCTCCCTAATTTGGGCTGCTGAACTCTGTGATTTGTACCCAGAAAAGAGTAAGACAGCAAGATAAAAACAGTGGTGTCCCCAAGGGATGATTGCAGAGGGACATGGCCAACCCAGTGCACTCCCAAGCCCCCACAACCCCAGGGATGACTACCCCCTTAATGAAACACATTCATCATCTTTATTCAATAAATAAATTAAAAACCCAGCAAATACATTGATAGGCACATGTTCACACTGGACACCTCAGGGTAATTTGATCAAATCTTAGCAGCATGCACCAGTCTCCATTTCACCAGGCCAGCCTTTAACTGCTCTCCTAGTCTTCTGAATTGATTAAGTTATGGTGCACATGGACAGAATAAAACTTTAATGCTACTAATGGCCACTGGCATGTTTTTGCGCAGATCATTGACATCACTCACTGCCGAAGCAGTCGCCATATGCCGATGTCTTAGCAACATGTCATTTTTCCCTCTCCCAGAAATTTCCCAAACTCTCATAGTGGAAACACGGCTAATGTATCCATCCATCCATCCATCCATCCATTTTCCTCCGCTTGTCCGGAGTCGGGTTGCGGGAGCAGCAGCCGGAGTCGAGAGGCCCATACTTCACTCTCCCCAGCCCTTCCGGGGTAACCCTAAGGTGTTCCCTGGCCAGATGAGAGACATAGTCCCTCCAACGTGTCCTGGGTCTCCCTTTAGGTCTCCTCCTGGTTGGACGTGCCAGGAAAACCTCACCAAGCAGGCATCCAGGAGGCATCCTAATCAGATGCCCGAGCCACATCAACTGGCTTCTCTGAATTTGGAGGAGCAGCGGGTCTACTCTGAGGCCCTCCCGGATGACTGAGCTTCTCACCCTCTCTTTAAGGAAGAGTCCAGACACCCTGCGGAGAAAGCTCCTTTTGGCCGGTAGCATCCGTGATCTCGTTTTTTGGTCACTGCTAATGTATTTTAATAAAATTTAATACATAATTTTCAATAAATCACAATATATATATATATATATATATATATAATATATATATATGTCACTGATGCTCATCATTTTCAAATAAAAGCATAAATTTCCTAAATATTTGTGGATTGTTTTGTTGAAAGAGCAACAGGCTAATTAAGCAGTTTTACATTTCTAAAACAACATTGGAAACAAAAAACAATTTTGAAATATTGTCTTCTTTCCTGAAATATTTGTGTTACTCACATTTTAGGTAAATGTATGGATGCATAGGCCTTTTGATTTCTAATGAAAAAAATGTGTGAGTGATGCAACACACAGCTAAGCTCACTCCCAAGTTACCACAGGACCAATTAGCTGTGTCATCCTGAAAATTTCCCTTGCCCCCCCCCCCCCCCCCCCATGGAAATGTTCTAGGTGCACCACTGGATAAGTGATGTCGTGAACCTGCAGTTTTACTGATTGTCTAAGCGAAAATCTTTCCAATAAACTAGTATTCACACTCTCCCATGGCGTTTGTAATATCAACACATAATGTTTTGTAACACAGAAACAGAACATGACCTCAAAACACATTTTATGGCTTGAATTGTGCTTTTATTGAACACACATCTGTGTTTATACCAGGATGTTAGCAATAGCTTTAATCCACAAATTTTCTATTGTAATTATCATTTTTTTCAAGGTGCCTTTATCCCAAAAAGACAAATAGAGTGAAAGGCTTGGCATTCCTTAAGAATGCAAACCAACCATGCATCATCGTTTATGTCAGAGCTATGGAGACATCGAAATTGTTAACGCCACTTTAGCAAAGAAACTAAATAAGATAAAAACGATCCTGCTACACTTTCCTGGTTATTTTTAATCTCAGTCAAAATGATAAAACAGAAATGAAACCACATTTCTGTGGGTGTTTTTGTGGCTGAAGCTACTAGTGAACAATACAATGATGAAAATATAACAGCTAAACATTTGTTCCACAAGTATTTCAAGGACTCTGAAAAGATTAACACATATATAGAGAGGAGATTTTCCCATTAATATAAACAGAACAGTTCTATATAAGGATCTGGCTAATGACAGATTTTTTTTATATTTCATAGTTTGGATCAATTAATCAATAGTTGGGACTTTGGTTGTTTATTTTTAGAGAACTTAGGTTCTCTAAAGATTTTTTATTGTTAGTTTGTAGCATTATTCCTGAGACTTTATTGTGCCCAGATAAACAAATGAATGTCACAAGCTTGAGATCTCTGCAGCATTCACATAAAGGGAAGTAAAATTTTGGTCTGAAGACAATTTCAAATCTTTCTTTGATCTTAAAAAACTAGAAAACAGACAAGTTGCCACATTATGGATGATTAAATGTTTCCAGACTTGCATGTGTTGGGCTTTGGATTTAGAAACTTTGTGCAACTGAAAACTGCAACATCTGACCCTTTGGCTGCTGTGGACACGAGACAGAAGAAATGCTCGGATCAGTACAACGACTGGACTTCCTGATCCTGCCTTCTCCGCTCTCCTTCCCGGGTGTCATCATGGTGTTTAAATTGCCGCCACACTTGTGTCACCTGAACGCCGAGTTAGAAACGTTTCCACTCCTGTTATGGCTGCCTCTGGCCGAGTGCTAAAGCAGAACAGAAGCTCTACTGGTGTTTATTGTGTGTTGAACATACCAGCAGTGGCATTAGACCCCTGACTGTGTGCAAACCCAGAGAGGGAAAACAGTACAGATGAAATAATCCAGAGCTTTTCCTTCCAATATCAACCTTTTGTTTAAGTTTGCAGCAAATTAGGATGGCATGTCTTAAATGGGTGATTAACCTTAATGACTTTACATCAGGATGTATTAAAATCTATAAACCAGGATGTCCAAGGTGAGGCCCGGGGGCCATTTGTGGCCCTCAGAGTGGGTTTGTGTGGCCCCTGGTGTGAACATTTCTCTCCCCAGCAGGCAGTTGGTGTATATTAATGATTTTAACATTTTTATGTTAACATTTTTTATAAATGTGTCTTTTTTGAGCTATATATATATATATATATATATATATATATATATATATATATATATATATATATATATATATATATATTGCTAAGTAAAACAATCACTAATAAATTTTCGTTCTCTTTTTTTAATAAAAGAAAGACATTTTTGTGACCTATGAGTTTTTAACTTGAAAAGTTTGACACATCTGTTATTAGACTTTATTAATTTAAAATAAATGTAGTTGTTGCTATTATTATTATTATTATTATTATTATTATTATTATTATTATTAGTGTTGTTGTTGTTGTTGTTGTTGTTGTTGTTCCTGATGGGATTTCCAGCTTGATCAAACGTTTTAGCAGTGGTTTGAAGAGGGTTGAACATTTAACCTCCAGAGAAACCTTGAAGGAGTCTTTTTTCATGCTCCAGCGCCTGCACCTGCCTCAGAGAGGTGCGCATGGGGGCTTCTCCTCGACACCATTAATCTTCTCAGACCTGCTGAGCATCACTGACGCACGCTGTAAGCATCTTTATTAAATACTCACCACCATGATGAGTCAACTCTCGGTGTGAAAATGAGCAGGAGCAGAACCACCAAGGGTTTGACGTGATAATGTCTGGATCCATCTCGGATGTCCATTGCTCCGCTGCGTCCTGGTTTCAGACTCCTCAGGTGTTTGCGGAAGATGTGCAGTCAGGTGCGAAAGTCCTGGGCGACTGTCCGCCGTCCATCATCGAGTTACAAAAGAAAAACTTCAGAAAGCTTCCAGAGCGCTTCCAGACTCCATCAGTAGATCCGGGACATCCCTATCAGCCTTATTCGCTCTGGAGTTCTCGGTCCGCGGTCACGTTTGAGCCAGAAATCCACCTTTCCTTCTTCGGTTGCGCCTCGAATTGAAGCGTCTAAAGTTTGGAGCTGTCTAAAAGCGAGTTAAAGGAAAAAATAAACTACTTCCAAGTTCCAATGGAAGTAGACAACGCTCAGTTTTCCCCCCAGCAGCCTGGAATGAAGATGCGCACAGAAAGACGCAGAGCTGCGCTCGGGTGCGCCAGCTGTCTGCCTCCCTTCCCCTCCCCCCTCCTCTGTTACAGAGGAATGGACCTTCACTGGAGAAGATTGTGACTGGAAAGAAAACACTACCTCAAGTCTGCTGGAGTTGATTTATTTATCTGAACTTCAACTGACAAAACTCAACTCTGATCCCTAAAATAGTTTAGTGAATGTTCTCCGGTGGTTTTTCTGAGGAGCAAATGTTCAAAAATACCTTAAATAAATGGATTTGTGCAGCGTCTTTCTTGTTGGGGAACTAAAGTTCCATGTGTTTGGTTTGGTAGATGATCATCAGAACAAAGTTCAACCATTTAGACAGAAATTAGAAAATCTTTATTTTATATGAATACAAGGGAATTTTAATGATGGTTGCTTTGATATAAACGCAATCACATTTTGGAGTAAAATTATTTTTTGTGTTAGAGAAAAATGTCCTTAGGTCGGATGCATTTCACATGACATTAGTTTAGACATCAGAGTAAAGCATTAAAGGGGGTATTTAGAATGCATTTTCTTATGTTATATTAGTGCTATGGTCGATATAAAACATGTTTATGAAGTTATTTACACTAAGTCCCTCACACATGAAGCAATTTCAGCAGTTTAATTGTTGACAGTTTCAGTACCTTCCAGAATGAGCCATTTCAGGGCCCTGTCACTTTAAGAAAATGCGTTGAAGCTGGCCACGCCCACCTATCCCTTGCTCAGACTCTTATAAGATGAGAAGCTTTGCTATCTGGGAGGAGCTCAGAGAAGAGCAGCTGCTCTTCCAGCAGCAGCTCTCTCTTACATGTGAGGTTCTATGCAAATTTTCCCATTTGTGACATCACAAATGGAGACTTTTTGCAACCAATTGTTTTAGGCATGAGATTCCTGATACTAAACACTGACAAAAACATAGGAGTGGATATTGTTTCATGTTTGGAGCATTTACAGAATCAGCAGAGACCCACATGGCAGCACAAAAGGATGCAAAAGGTGAGATTTGCATATGAACATTGCAGGTGCAGGGTATTGGGGTGCAGGTGTTGTTTCTAAAGTGTAACGTGGAAACAACCAGAGAAAACTTCAACAAAGGTCGGAAATATAAAATACTGAAGAAATTACCTCAAATATTTAATAAAAACTGGTAGAAATTATAATGGAAAGTTTCTTGTATTCAAAAGCTAATGATATTTTAATTATAAGTGGCCAAAAAATAAAGATTTTCCAAACAATAATTGTTCCTGCATTCCTTGTGTGTCTCACATTTGTTTGAATCCTTTATAAACATTTGTTAATGCGCAGAAAGACACATTAGCATGGGAAACCTGTAGCTCTGCGAAAAGCTGGGTTTTAGGGTTGGGGGACCTAAAGGGAATTATGTGGAGAAACAATGACCACCAGGACATGTTCACTATCTGTTTAGAACACTCCGTCAGTATAAAAGAAACACAAACACAAAAATAAAATGTGTGTGATGAAGCAGGCAGGTGGGTGACATTTGACACCAGTTCTCTATCTGAGCTGTGAAGTTGGGTTTGTCCATGTTTGGTTTGGTGTCCAGGATAGTCCCTCTGTGCTAGAAAATGATTAATACGTATCCGTGTGCCTCGGGGAGGGGGTTGAGAAATCCTCCTCTCTGTTCCAGGCACTTGAATCTCTCGTGTCATGCTGCTGGAGTGCGTGTTTGGAGCTCAGCTCATATCAACAGTCCCAATCCAGAGACAGGTTTGTCTCATCGAGCCCGCCTGGAAACATCTGACCCACCTCAAGGACATTTCTGGCTCTTGTCCCGTCCAGTATGGTAAAGACAAGGTGAGAGAATGAATGTGGGAGGTCATTTCAATCCGTGCAAATCCAGGAGTGATAGTTAGGGATGTTAGTAAAGGTCAATGACAATGCAGTGCAACAAAAATAGTCTGGTGATGGTGGGCTGTTCTGGGGATTTTCATTATCTAATATCAATGTTGTGTCTTCTAAAGCAAACGTCTGTGATCTTACGCTTGGTTCCAAACGGGTTGATGAATGTCAGCGCCGACAGCTTCTGTCACCACACACGTTCTCATTCTGCAGCCCAGCTGTTTGTCCTTCACAGCGTCCAGTCTGGACGCAAAGCCAAAGTCGGATCCTCATTACACGTGACTCTCTGTTTCTTTGCCCTGGGACAAGCCTTGGACTTTACAGCGACGACTCTACAACAAACAGCTTTACAGGGAGCAGGTGATGGTAGCAGCACCACTCATCATCCAGTTTCAGCAGGCATAAGGGGCAACGCTGGGGGCCTGAGCGGCGTTTCTGTGGTGATGGGGGCTGCTTAGTTTGAATTTAAATACTTTACGTTTATTATGTTTATTCATTTAGCAGATGCTTTTATCCAAAGCGACTCAATTTATAACCTATAGGGAATGTTGTGATTTTGTGACTTTAGCACAAAACCTGCTATTTAGACACTGAAAGTGTACATCTACCTGAGTCTGAGGACGTAAGGCTTGTTGGAGGGCCGGGCAGGTCCAGGATGCAGCAGTTTATTTATTTATTTTACAGGAATGTTAATTAGGTGAAGTGAATGAAAGAGAAGTGACCCATGCCGTTAACCAGCTAACCCTTCCTCAGCAGCCAGGAGGGCCAATTCTGTTTCAGAAAAACCACGTCAGCAAGTGTGTGTGTTGTGTATAAAAATTTGAAAGAAAAATTATAAAAGTTTTTTTCACTCACAAACATAAAAGACTACAACTGATTAAAAATCCATGAAATTAAAAATATAATTCCTCAAATATCAAAGTAAACACAGGCTTGATTTGTTGTATCCGGGTAGTTTTAAATGCTGTGTAAATACAGGATGTCATGTTGTTTTAGGTGTAATCCATTGCTTCTGTACCATAATGGTAAGTTTTCTGACTGCTAGGATGAAAGCAGCAATCTGACGAAACATCCTCGCATTCATTTTCGATTGGTTTCCATCCTGATGTGCAGCTTTGTGAAGTACTGACATCTAGTGGACACTCTGTGATAGTGCAATGTCCTTTTATTCAACTTTTATCTGAATTTAAAATAAAAGATTAATTTAGCTGAGTTTAACTATTTAAATGTGTGTGTGTGTGTGTGTGTGTGTGTGTGTGTGTGTGTGTGTGTGTGTGCGCTTGCATGCATGTGTGTAATACTTGAATCAATGTGAGCTAGTGACACAAATCCTATGATTGTAAATAAATACAAAATAAAACCATTATTTTTTTTACATTTTTATTAAACATTTTTCGGCCTACAAAGTGTTTTAGAAACATGTGGTTTCACCTCAACAGCAGATAGATTATTTCTCTATGTTACAACAAAAGAACAACATGAACACAGCACTGATCCGATTATTTGATGTGTAAAAGCCATAAATCAGGGATAAATGAACATTGATAAAAGGAGGTTTACACTAAAACGAGTGTAGAAGATTTATATTTAGGTTCTGGTTCCAGACTGAGTTTGACCTCATTAGTTAATAAGTAAATTCTTTTATGATGCCTAAAAAATAAAAATATAAACTGACAAAAGTTTATAAAAATCATTGACGCCCATAGTCGCTAACTAAAGAAGTCACTCTGCTTCTGGAGAATCTCCGTTATGAAGCCTGCAGATGGACCAACAGATTAGAATGGTCATGTGACTAGTTAATTTGATGAAACTACCATGTCCAGTTCCTTGACACCCTCTTGGGCGGAGCTGAGGCCGCAGCTGCCTGACAGCGAGCTTTCAGAGAAATTATTGGCTGATTTGGGACCTGCTGCTGGGGTCAGCGGTGGCTGGGCTAGACCCGGTTTCTTAGGAGGGATGGGTGGAGGGTTGCCCCTGTCCACCCTGCTGATGATGGGTGACCGGATTCCCTGGGGGATGATTCCCGCAGCCCTGTTGATGACTGGAGACAGAGGTGCTGCCAGGCTGCGGTAGTCTGTGCCAAACGGGGAGTTATTTGGCATGCTGAGCTTTGCTGCGGCGCTCTGGTGAGCTGTGGTGAAACGGGACAGGACCTGAGTGACAGTGCTCCGAGCCATCTGCTTGACCGGACTGGGCTCTGGGGAGGAGCTGCTGCTCACAGGAGAGACGATGTTTGGTGAGAGGGAGAGAACAGCGGGTGCAGCCTGGGACTGTGGTTCTGGATCACTGGTACCCTGGAACCGGTGTCGCACAGCGTGGAAGCGCTGGTTGATCCCGGCCTGGTACGGATGGCTCCCAGGACTCGTGCTCCCCGTGGGGTGCCTGGAGAGAACTGGTGACGTGCAGGGCAAAGGGCGAGGCTGTGTTGGATCGGAGTTTCCATTCTGTAAGAGATCCTTCTCTGAAAGTACATGAAGCCCATTGGTCTCCAGAGAACAATGGTGACCATTAACAGGTAGATTGTCTCCATTTTGCTCAATGTCCTCCACCTTAGCGTCAACTACTGAGGAGCTTCCTGGCAGGACATTAGTCACCCACTCTCTTCCTGCTGCCTCTACTGTTACGTCATCTTTTATCGTGTAACCCTCCTCCAGCTTCCTCTTCAACTCCTCCACCTGATCAGAGAAGACATTTAGCCACACACTGCTAAATTATTCTCCTCTTCCATGCTCAGATGTCTAAGTGGTCCCACCTGTCGCTGCAGCTGGGAGCGATGAGCTTCTTCCTTCTTCAAACGTGAGCGGAGCTGTTCCCGCTCTGTGTCAAACTCGGCCAGCTGCTCCTCCACCCTGGCCTCCATTCTCAGAGATCTCCTCCGCTCCTCTTCCAGCTCTTTTCTCAACACCTGAGAAGCTTCTTTCTCCTAAAAAAACAAACAAAAAAAAGTACTTTTAAGGACGGTATTTCAAAACCTTTGTGGCCAAGTTTGATCTAAGGAAGTGGAATATGGGTAAGAAAGTTAACTGGAATTCCAAATGTTCCGACCTTATCAAGTTTACGGCTCAATTCAGTCAGCCGGTGGCCCTCCTCCAGAGCCCGTGAACTCGCCCACTTGCACTCTTTGGCCAGAGCACAGGAGAGTTGTTTGTGCTGAGCCCGCTCCTCCTCCAGCTGCTCAGTAATCCGTCGCTGTTCTTTCTCCAGACGGCGAACGTGGCTCCGCTCAAATTCCAACTGCAAGCAAAGAGAAAACCACAGTGAAAAATGCCAGATGCAGCAAATGAAACCTGTTCTGCTTTGGTCTGTTACAGGTGAGTTTAAGCCTGCATGAGGAGTGAAATGGGTGTTTTTGCTGAGCACCTGTTGTTGTAGGCGCTCCCTGTCCTTTTCCAGTATGCACGTGACATCATCACCCTCAGCTGTGTCCTCAGCATGCCTCCTCTTCTCCTCCTCCAGGTCTGCAATAACCTAAAGCAAACATAACGGCAGATTTAGTCACATGTGCACATTCTCCGTGCTTTTTCATGTTTTGTTTTGAATCTCTGAACTTGTGGCCACAAACCCAAACCTACCCTTCTGTGTCTGCTCTCTGCTGCAGCCAGTTGGCTCATCATCTTCTCCTGCATCCTCCTGCAGTGGCTCACCACCAGTTTGAGAATCACCAGAGGGTTGGCTGCATGGGTGGAATGGCCAGGTTCCTTCATGCAAGCCCCAGCAATCTCACTGTCTCTCTGCAAGGCGTGGAAGGGGTCGCTGAGGTTGTACCATGCATAACGCTCCTGGATGACCAGCTCTCTACACTGGGCCTGAAGAGATGACAGAATGGATGTTAGGGCTTTTATTTATAAAGGTCATGTAACCTGGATGCATGAAATGAATCCTCATGACTCAGGTGATTCTTTCATTGGTGTTCCAACACCACTTTCTGACTTTTCGTGAACCCAGTGTTGCACTGGGCTCTGATGGATTGAGACTAATCAAAAATGGCGTTCCAAAATGTCTTGAAAACACTAACAAAGATTTTTATTCCCCTCACAAGACACTTGTCTTTCTGGAATTTTAAAGTGGTTTGATAAATCTTTGAGCCAAATGTTCACCCATAATCAAACAGTGTGACAGTCCTTCATTTAGTTTTGAGAAACGCGAGACAACACCAGGTGGAGCAGTTGACCCATGAAACTACATTTTGCCTTGAAACATAAAGATAATTAGACTTGTAGTGTAAAACAGGGATAATGACACTGCAATAATTAAATATATAAGCAAAAATCGCTAAATAAGTAGACATAACAACACATTTTATGACCAAATTCGCACAAATGTTCAAAAGATGCAATTGATCTGAAATTAAAATGACGTGAAATGATGTTTTTAACTTATGTTAAAGAGGTTCTAGCCATCTTTCCATTGTAAGGCTTTATTATGGATTTGTGTTTGGTTATTTATCAGGGCTCTTGGGCCATTTTGAGCCTCATCAAAGTTTCATTTGCTATTAAAGGCTCAAAAAACAGTTTTAAAATCTAAAAAAAGTTGTAAAGTCCCTTTCAAATTAGAACTCATGTTAAACTACACGTGGGTTCACTTCTGCTGTTGCACAATAAATCTAATTTTGCACCAGTGTATAATCTATACCATCCCCTCAGAGTGAGACCACATCATTTGATGGAACACGTCCATGGCAGCTATGGCTTAAGTTACCACAAAAGGCTCCCACTCATCTCCCAATAAAACAGAAATCAAATATTGCATTTAGGACAGCATGTCACCAGAAGGAGAATAAAGCTGCAGATAAAAGAGGACTATCATAAAACAGAAAGGAAATGCTTAAAAAAACACACACAGAAAAAGTACCGGCAGGAACAGCAGATGGTGTGTGTCTGTCTATGTTTAGCAGGACAGCTGCTCCAGATTGGGCTCTGTCCAAGGCAGACCTGTTGTCTGTTTAACTCATGACAAAGGAGAGATAATAACAGTGAGACATTTCAGGTTCGGCAGATGCCTTTAGGCTGGTGGTAAAATGGGGGCTGAAGTATGTGACAGAGGAGAAAGGCGGTGGAAAGCCTTTGGCAGAACTCTGTCTTGGTGAGCTTTCAACAAAAGAGGATGAAGCGATTAGAGAAGACACTATCTTGTCTGGCGGGGTGATGGACAGAGATACTGAGCTTAAGGAGAAGTTTAAAGAGCATTCAGCAGGTCTGAGGTGTATGAAATCTTTCTGCTGTTGAACCTGGATGGGTTCATACCAAAAGCTGCTGTTTTCACCCGCATCATTCACTTCCACCAGCTCCACTCTCTTTTTCCTCCCTCTCCGATGTGGTATCAAGTGATAACCTGCACCAATTATTCCCAACTCTCTGTGAATCCGACAGCAATTCATTTATGTAAAGTGAAAATCAGGCCAGGTGCTGCTGAGACATTAAAATGAGTTGTGAGTACAGCAAAAAAATAAAAAGAGAGAGAATTTTGCTAAGATGCTGAAAATGAAAAAAGGATACAAGGTTTGCATCAGTGCTGTCACACTGAGCAACGTTTCACAAATAAAAATTTCACTTACATAAAAAAATTAAAAATATAAAGTTTTATGTACAAATAATAATTCTCTTCTTCAAGTGAGGTAAACATGAAAAAAAAAAACACTGCTTTAGCCATTGTTGTTGATTTATGATATTAAACCATATATATTGGTTATAAATTAATTAAATCAATTAAATTAAAACAGAACTGTGTCATGTTGCACATGTTCAGCACCGGCTCATGTGGAACAAAGACAGGAGGCTCTGAGGCCTGGCTGCTGTTACTCCATCCAGTCTGCAGAGGAAGGTGTGAAGGCAGATCAAACAGCAGAGAGGCGTGAAACGGGAAAACACACACACGGCACTATTCAAGAAGGCCTCTCAAACGTAGGCGCCATCAAAACCCACATGGACACTCAACTGTTCAGTAACCGGACTATGAGCTGCGTAGGCCTGTGTGGCATATCGGTTCATATCAAAACCCGGTGTTTACCTTTGTTAGTGCACTGCAAGTGCAGTAATTATGCATGATATCAAAGTTTCACTACACAGCTTAGCACTAGTCCTGTGGAAGACTTTCAGTTCTTGAACGCTGACTGGTACGAGAACGTCTAAAATAGCTTGTGCTAAAAAAAAGTAACTACTCTGGGACATCATCTGATTTGAGAACAGTTCCTCTCAGTGAGTGTGTGCTATGTGTCATTTTACAGTTAAAAAGCTTGAATCAGAGTTTCCACCCTTTATTCACACAACTTATAAAAGAGCACTGTGACAAAAAGATAATATGATGTTAGTCCTCTACAACTGCAGGTCTATATTACTATTATTATTATTGTTATTAATGAGCATCTTTTCACACATGCAGGGGACTTTCTGCACACAACCTCTGCCATAAACACTGACTGTGCTTTGCCTTCACTCCTTATAGTGCACTGATAGGATCCAACACAAGGAAAGGCTGTTTGTCTCTGCGCTAACCCTCCAGAGTAGCAGACAGTAAAAAGACTGAATTCAAGAAACATCTGAGCACTCATTTCACAACTTCGTACAGCCCATGTAAAACAGCCATAATCACTGGGCACATGGCTGCTCTGCATCACAGTCTGGACTCATTATTCATGCATTTGTGTGTTGGCTGCAGCTCTTGGCAACCCGCCTCCGTCTGGATGGGAAGACACAGCTGTACTAGTTCCAGTTTATCGTTTGCTGACACGCGCCTAGGTTGTCTTAGAGGATCTGCGTAATACACTGAGTTTGTCACGTCTGTGTCTTTTGCTACAGTCTACTATATTTAAAAGCTGCTTTATATAGCGGTTAATAGATCGGACATGCTAATGCTAATATTCTCTACTAAAATAATGGGTTCTGCAAACCAATATCCAACAGTCACTCCAGACTAAGATGCAACAAAAGCCACGTTACTGACAATGAAATCAATCAGCTGAGGCATCTTTGATCTCGACTTATTTTAGGGCTGCTTGTTAAACAAAACAGAAGTTAAAGTCATTTGAAGAAGCTCCAGTTGAAAGCTCTGGTTCACCATGTGAACTCGACAGTTAATTAAAGGCTCTTTTCTATATCTGAGGCTTACTGAACTTAAAGTAAAAGGTTCTGTTTCTTTCTCAAACCAAAAGGACAAACTGGATCACTGCAGGCCTTTGTGTGCCAAAAATAAGCCGTGCCAAAGACTGACTTCCTTTTCAAAGCCACTGCTCACTCAAGCAGCTGCAGAAGTGAGTCACAAGGGGAAAAATGCAGAAGATAGTTGAAATGCCATTGATAGTTCTGCTAAATTACATGTAGAGCAGCATTTTAAAAGGAAACACACACACACACAAGCCTTTAATCTCATATCCAGATTAGGCAGACACAAACTTGCAGGTTATTTTCTTTTTCTAATTAAAGAAGAAGTCACTGGACAAAACAAAGGGGTTAAAAATAGGATAAAAACACAGCTGTGGACTGTCTCATTATCTCCATGGTGATTTGTGTGGGTGACACATCAGTTCTCGAAAAGTTAAAATCAGATTTTATAGAAAAACTATAAATGGATGTTTCTAGAAACCTCAAAACTTCTATTAACACAGAAACAAGAAGTTACATTTGTCGGAAAAGATGAGACCAATTATACAGATTTTGCAATTCCTAGCAGAAAGTTTAGCAAAAACTCATCAATACACAGGACTAAAACTATTAAATACGACGGTGAAAGGATGAAGGTTTGGGATTATGTTACGGACTCAACACTGTAATGATTTAAATTACATGTTATTTAATAAGCCATAAGACAAAACATTCCATAGCAAATATGAAATCCACCTTATGGATCTGTGAGGTTATTTTAAACCAGAAGATTGGAACTTTTTAATGCAGGGATTAGATAACAGCTTCGTATTCACTCAGAGACAACAGAAGAGAGAGAGTCGAGTTTAAAAGTTTAAAAATGTATTACTAAACAAATTAAACTAGACTAACTTTAAACACTAGATGTATGGTGTAACTAAGGTGGATGAGACGGAGAATGGTGTGATGTGGAATGTTGCTCAGAACCAGCAAATCCAAAGAAGCGATAAGTTCTGATGGGAACTGAAGGTGATGTCTTCTCTATTAAGCTTTGGTTAGGAGATTCAGTCAGCCCTATTCTAAAAAAACCTGGTTTAGATCCCAATGATTTCAATAACCTCCGTCCCATTTCCCATCTTCCCTTCATTTCCAAAGTCCTTGAGAAAACTGTTGCATCTCAGCTCCATTCACATCTCACCCGCAATAACCTTTATGAACAGTTTCAGTCTGGCTTCCGTCCCCACCACAGCACAGAAACAGCTCTCATCAAGATCACTAACGACCTACTCATTGCTGCTGATTCTGGTTTAATCTCTATTCTTATTCTCCTCGATCTGAGTGCGGCCTTTGACACCATTTCTCATCCCATCCTCCTTAATAGACTCTATTCCTTAGGCATCACTCACACCCCCCTCCGCTGGTTTCAGTCTTACCTTACTGGCCGCACTCAGTTCATCCAGTTAAAATCCTTTACCTCAGAACCCTCCCCAGTCAAGTCAGGTGTGCCCCAGGGCTCTGTCCTGGGGCCCCTCCTCTTCATAGTATATCTCCTCCCTATCGGCAAAATCTTCCGCAAATTCAATATCCAGTTTCACTGCTTTGCAGATGACACCCAGCTCTACATTTCCAGTAAGCCCAACTCAACTCTCCCACCATCCTCCCTTACACTCTGCCTCTCTGAAATCAAATCATGGTTCACCTCTAATTTCCTCAAACTCAACGGCAATAAAACTGAACTTCTTCTAGTTGGCACTAACTCCACCCTCTCAACATCTGACAGCTTTTCTTTAACTATTGACAGTGCCACAGTCTCCCCCTCACCTCATGTCAAGAGTCTGGGTGTCATTCTCGACAGCTCCCTTTCTTTTCAGGCTCACATTAATAACTTAATTCGGTCAGCATACTTCCATCTACGTTCCATAAACCGTCTTCGTCCCTCACTGACCCCTCACACTGCCGCCATTCTCGTCCACAGCCTCGTCACCTCCCGTCTCGACTATTGCAATTCACTTCTTTATGGTCTCCCCAACAAACTCCTTCATAAACTGCAACTGGTCCAGAATTCAGCAGCCCGTATTATCACCAGAACCCCTTCCTTTCACCACATCACGCCGGTTCTCCAGCAGCTCCACTGGCTCCCAGTTAAATTCAGGCCCATCTTCAAAATTCTCCTCCATACCTTCAAAGCAATCCACAACCTCTCTCCTCCATATATCTCAGACCTTATAAGTATTCACACCCCGTCCCGTTCACTCAGATCTTCTTCTTCCATCCATCTTGCGGTTCCTTCTGCCCGTCTCGCTACCATGGGGAGCAGAGCTTTCAGCCGCTCTGCTCCTCGACTCTGGAACTCACTTCCCCCAGACATCAGGAACATCGACAGTTTTACCCTTTTCCAATCAAAACTCAAAACACATATGTTTAAATCTGCCTACAACCTCTGATTTTATTGAAATGTTTCTCTCTGTTTTTTCTTCTTTGGGTTTTATTATTGTTTTATTGTATTTTATTACGTGTTTTGTGTAAAGTGACCTTGGGTGTCCTGAAAGGCGCTTTGAAATAAAATGTATTATTATTATTATTATTATTATTCATAAACACATTCAACGCCATTTGTCAGTCTACATACCCTGGTGGAAGTCCCCGTTAGATCAGGAGGTGTAGAGGTCCAGCTTGACCTTGTGGAGCAGGAGCATGTAGAAGCAGCCACGGCAGCCGACCGCCAGTCTTGAGATACTCCCGGGTCACGATAATTTTGTTGGCATCTAGTGAGACCCAACCGTGGGTCGTGATGGTTCAGCTTTTATTCTGCAAGGAACCGTTGCAGCAGTTGTAACAGCAACAGATTTTATCCAGCTTGTCGTTGGTTCTTTTGGCTGAAGAGGAAAGTTACGGATTGGCGACTCCGACACTTCTCTAGAACGCTTTGAACTCGCGTTAAAGAAGGCGTGGGCATAGTTTTATACTTCGGATGTTTTGGTTTATGGTCGAATGAAAAGTTGGCAGATTTAACAAACACCATCAAAACCACTCCTCCGTCAGATCTGGCAGATTCTGATTGGATCAGTGAATGCAATGTGTCATGTCTTTTAACGCTACGTGAGATCAGTCCTAGTGGAACATTTAAAGTTATATTACTTAATATATTCTATAGGATTATAATGAAGTTATTAATATTTTGATTTCACAGATTGGTCACATCTTATTTATTGACTAACACTTTGCTTGATTAGCTTATTAAAATAGAGTTCTTTGATTTGTTAAAAGGAGAGAGTCCATTCTTTGTTCTTCTGTTGAGCTGGAAAGAAGCAGTTTTATAACAAATGCATGAGACCTTGAGGCCATATCTCATGCAGACTAGTCCTGTGTCAGAGGAGAGGCGGAAAATGACTTTTGGTGGAAAACAGTCATTTCATACCGTTACAACCCATATGCACCTCACAGTCATTTAGTCAATCATAAACCTAAATATTTTTGGGCGGTCAATCAACCAAAAACTATAATCACGATCAATCATGAGTTCCATAGTTAACTTGTGATTAATCACAAAATTAATACAGATTCTAAATTCCTAACATATTTTCAGGTTTCTAATTCAGTAACGACACATGTGAAAGTCAACAGATGAAATAAAAGGGTTAAAAGTTCAGGTGAGTCTTTAAAAGAGCCATGTTCCCCTCATGCTTCACTTAACGTCCATGTTTATTTATTCACTCCAGCTCTCACTCCCATTTCGTAATCAAACACCCACTGGGCTGTTAACTCCTCTTGCCTTAGATAGCCAGATCTCAGGGGAAATGAAGGAATGTGTCTAGACACAACACATGAACATTCAGCAGTAGGGTCTCTTTAGTCAGCTGACTGCCTCTTCGGTTCCTTCTTTCCATGGTGTGTTTTATACTGAGACAATAAGCAGCATTCCTAGACTACAACGGCCGGCGATGGTTCTCACAAAGCTATAACCATCTTTTGCAGAAGTGTTTCATAAATACGCAGCCCACTCATTGTGAGGGTAATGGGGAGTAACAGTTTAGTTTCACAAAATGGAAAAAAAAACACTTAAAACTAAAACGAACAATCCAATAATTCAATGAAATCAATAATTTTAAATATTTGATTTATACACATTTAAAGGCACACTTGGCAGTTTTGCTTGCTTTTAGCACCCCCTAGTGTCCAGTATTAGTTATACGTGGTTAAACCGAAAATGAAACCTCTCTCTTCGCTTTCATCTTTTTAACACCTTAATCTAACAGCTGAAATGTCTCCCCAGCCTTCATTAGTGTCTACAGGACTTACGCATCAATAAATGAAACAAATCAGCTGTGTTCATGATCTAAAACATGCAGGAAACATGCTGGAAGCGGACTGCAGTGCCAGGCATCTCAGCTAAATTTTTCCAAAGTGCAACAGGACTGCCATACTGAAGGTACAAGTGCGATATTCTTGCGACGGAGGGTGGTGAGGGTCTGAGTGACTTTTCATTAAGGGTCATTTTAGCCCACACTGGCTCAAGAAAAATATTTTAAAATCTAAAAAAGCTGCAGTTTAAATCAATGCTTTGTTGAATTTGTCAATTTTGAGTTATTCCATCTCCTTTTGGTTACATGCCATAAACAAAGCTTGTTCTACCGTGCTAACAGATCATACAGTCAGCAGAGCGAGTGAAAGATCAATGACGAGAGGGATGCAGCCATCCAGAGAACACTAGACACTAACCCTAATCTCAAAACATTTCCGAAGTTTGGGAACATTTCAAACTCAAGCTGATAAACGCCACTAGGTTAGTGTTAAGTTTGCAATTCACAAGAGCACAACTTCCTTATCCCAGAGTCTCAGCAGTAAGCATTCAGGTGTTTCAGGAGTGAGCTACAGATCTTAGACATGGTGTGTGGTCTGGAGTTTAAATGAAAATAAACTGATTAACATCAGCTATGATAACTGGGCTGAAATGTATTTAACCGCTACCTCTAAAAGCCAATTGAGTTTTCTTCTTCTTTTTTTTGCAATTCTTCAAGAGTATAAAATATTTGCTTGTCAGCGTTTTTAAAAACCTGGTACGTGTTTGTAATTTTCTCGTACATTTGTCTGGAACGTTGCCGTTTCATCTTTACTGCAGAAAGGAAAAACAAATCACACTTGTCATCAAATCTCAGACGATGGATATTTGATGTTTTGTTATTTAGTGGTTTTTTAAGTTAAATAATGACAAGTTAACTGGTAAATTAAATATATTCTCTATGTTTTTTAGGAATTGGCTTCAATAGACAGCTTGGTGTGGGCTAACCCATCCCGCTCAGCTGAATCTACAGCACAGTTAACAGGAAGCAGCTAAGATGGAGTTAAATGCATTAAGATGTGTAAATCTACTGGCTATTGACTTGTTTTTCAATTAGTACTGCTAAGTAACATTTTGACCACATTTTCAAAGCAAAGGATCAATAAAGGCTTAACAGATTATTTGATTAATTGATAGAATGTGGCAGATTAATCAACAGCTGCAGCCCTACTTAAACAATGCAAAAAGCTACAGTAATAATGTTTGTGGATTTGTAGGACATGAAAATGCAAAAACATGCAAATATTGCAGTATCCTATATGAAAACATTGGTGTAATTGATCTAACTTACAGGGGGACTTCACTTTTGTGTTTTCTTGACATAAGAGATGAGTCAAAGTTGTCTTTTAGGTGTTCAGTTACAGCGCATGATCAGCAGCTGATTTATGGTTCTCATTCCTGTTAAACCACTCACTGAACCCTTTTCTAGTATAAATAGATAACCTGAACCATCAGGACCTCTGAAGATCATACAATGAATATGATTGTTCAGAATAACTTTGTACTGATTTACAGCAACATTTCCATTGAGGAGAAATACAGGATTAAAATCATGCCAGCAAAATACCCTCCAACACACACACACACACACACACACACACACACACACACACACACACAAACAACTGAGTGCCTCAATTCCCTCACTACAGAGGCCAGGTTTTCAGGATTTTATCATGCTGTAATATCTGTTTATCACCTGTCAAACACAAACAAACTCCAGCTACTAAATTTTTCTTTGATCTAACTTGTTTGAAGACTGACGATGCTCCTGAAACACTTGGTTTGTCTAAACGTTTGAATGGAGAGTGAGAAAAAACATAAATAATGCTTTAGTTTTCTATGAAATAGAAAAATTCTTCTAGGCTGGATGAGTGACCCAACCAAAAACACTGTCCCAAAACTTGCAATTTCTAACAACCACCTGCCAGCCCAGGGTTTACGTGTTAGACGTGAAATGTGATTATGAGCTGGGAAACCGTTTAATGTAATAACTATGTCACTAGCTCTGATTATTGGTACCTTTAGAACTTCGATGACGACATCTCGAGCTTCCAGTTCTCCCTCCAGGATGCTGAAAAGCATCAGCTGCTCTGGCTTGGTCAGACTTTCCATGTTCAGTTTGGACTGGGAGGACATAAAAACGGGACAATTAACAGCTAACATTTTAAAGGTGCAGCGAATGAGGCTTTTCTGGAGTTTTCAGCCATATTTCTTGAAATGTGCTTCAAAAATCCAGGACAACATCTCTATGACTTACAATCCTGAAAAGAAGTAGTTTTACCTGTTTCTTTTAGATTCTGGTTATGTTCTTTTTGAGAAACGTTTAGGTGATGGACTTGCTGTCTGTCAAGGCAGCTTGTCCTCTGTCGGTTGGCAGAGCCGGCTGGGTTTTGCAAGTGTAAATCTTTCTGGCGGGGGATGGACCTTAGAATTGTGCATTTTTAAAAAATTTGCTGGCTCCAACTAGTCTGGTATATAGTCTGGCCATGACCTAATACATCTACAGTTGTCTTCGGAACTGTCTGCATGCTGTTGCACATCGAATAACAAAAAACGTAACACACTTACTGTCAAATTTATATATTTCTAAATAAAAAAAACTTAAGTACCTCTATCTGCTCTTGACTCAAAGAAAAGCTCAAGTCTAAATAGCACCAAAGCTGTTTTAAATGAGCAGCCGCCATCTTTGTTCTGCTCAGTGGCAGTAACATCCTGGCAACCAAACCAATAGAACGCTGTGATTGGCTGGATACAAGACTGTTCGGGCCGATGGTAGACCTGCTGAGGCTCCAATAGAGCGTGGCTAGACCGACCTGCAGAGAAAAATCCTTTTGTTTCTGCTCCGGTCGGTCTTTTTCAGAAACTCCTATCCTACCCTTAACCTATTAAAACCATCACTTTTCCTGCAGCTTTACAACAGTTTTCTTTTTGGATGAAGCCTTGTTTTCCAATGACATGAAAACCGGACATACAGTCAGACATCTGCTCCAAACCACTTTTTATGAGCTTTTGGGTTTTATCTAAGTACAGCCAGTGAGGGTTTTTGCTCTAAACCAAGAATCAAAACAGGTTATTTTTGGTTTTGCTCTAAATATAAAGCTCAGTTAACACTTAATTATCTTAAATCACAACAAAATAGCAAGTTAGAATTCTGACTGGGTGGATTGGACCCAAACCTTACGGTTTGTAACAATGACTGATAATGTGCAGTACAGCACAACTCTACAATATCTTCTTGTTTTGCTGAAAGTTCAATCCATAATGGGTGCTGTGACAGTTATCTTGTGTAGCAAATGAGATGTTGCTCCTTTGTAGTTTCTGAGCACTTTAATCTCACAGCTGTGTTGGTTGTTCTGACAAGCCCTGCAGTGTCCACATCTCAAACACCCAACCGCACTCTGCCCAAATGAAAATATGCGGGCCTCACTTTGAAATAACATCAAAGCTGTTGATGCTACTACACTGAAGTGAGTTTTCTTATGAGAACCATCATGACGGTTAGATCAACACCCCGCTGACTGACTACTTAATCACACACATATATACCCCAGCTTGAATTGCTTGTGGTGGAAGCATCTCTTTAAAGCTGTGATTCACAGCTGAATTAGCATTCACTCTGCAGCCTCCTCCAGCCTGGCTTGGAGCACTTTGTGGTCAACAGAAACTCACATCATAAGGATGTCTTTTAGCAAAAGCAGAAATCCCAGGTCAGCCACACCTGAGCAGGATGACAGAATATCACCATTGTAACAAATTGCCAGCACATTCATTTGACCCTTTTGCAGATCAGGAAGCAGAAGTAAAGAAGAGGAATGACTGTGATGAGCTGCATCTTCTCACAGGCAAGGAACCACAGATTTTTTACTTCTGCCTTTAAACACCACTCACGGTCTGTGGCTTAACCGCGGGTGTAAAATGCTAATTAACAACAGCATATGTGCCTCCTTTTGGTTTGGGTTTACAGGCCTGCTCGCTAATTTCACAGGCGTCTATAATGACTGTTTTGTGAGAACTGCCGATGCTAACGTGCGTCATGGAACTTGTTTAATTCCTCATCATCGTTTAATTTTTTTTTTAAATCTAATCCTCTGCCTAGTGATCATGAGGGTAAACGTAAAGTGATGGCATGGGAAATGCAATTACTTCCACGTTTTCCAAGCTCCACTTCCGATGACGAAAGCCTTGTGTCCATTATCCTATTATCCATGTTTGTTTTAAGCCTGGTCGGCCACGTGCCTCAGCTACAACCCTGTATTAAATGTGTTGAACATTTGTTTAATCAATACTGTACATTGAGGTGGTCTATAGTAGGAATGGATGCCTAGTGAGTCGTGTGTGTGTGTGTGTGTGTGTGTGTGTGTGTGTGTGTGTGTGTGTGTGTGTGTGTGTGCGCGCGTTCGGGGGTGGGGTGGGGGGAGTAGCTTCAGGTGGCGGGATTTGGAGTCGTATTTCCTGATACTTGGACATCTTGCCTCTGATTGGATACAGCAACACAACTATATCATTGACTCCATTTGCTCTGCAACATTTATGTTTTATCTCCACAAATAACACAAGCCTGGAGGAGTTCTGCTCTGTGGTGGAGTTACTAATGCTAATGGTTAGCTTGCTCTAGTTGATACGTTCTCTGCTGTTTGTAGAACATTAAAACAAAAACAGCCTTTCCCGTCACGAGTCAAGATAGTGTGAAGTGTGATGTAGGTCTGTCAGGCTTTTCAAATCCTTGAGTCTCACAGTCTATTTTCTATCAGAAGCTACTGCAGGAGATAGGTGTAGGAGACTATTTTCATATTCAGCCTGCATGAAAAACTCAGAGCGGCCGATTATAATCAGAATTAACCATGAAAAATAGGGGTTTCAGTGGTCCACACCTTTAGAAACACACAGCAACTTCTAGTAAAAACACAAGGCTCTGATATTCTCTGCAACTCCTTGTGACTTTTGTGCATCACAACGACTTAAAAAAACCTCTACCTTTAATCCTGTCAACCTAATAGTTTAACTATTCCCGTGTTTTTGTCTCAGAGGAGTTCTTAAGCTCTTAAACACACATTGACTTGCACTCATGAGCAAATAATGCATTGTATGCATTTGGAGCCAAGAGTCGGTTATATTTGTGTAACTCTTTTTTAACACTAAATATTCCTGCAAATGGTCGCTGAAATAAAGAGAAAGTAAGTTTTGCATGAATGCAAGTGACAGTCTGTGCAAGCACAACCACAGCCATGAGGAAGGGGGTCAGCTGAGAGCAGAGCTGAATCTCTTCTTGGCTGACCTGATGCATAGTGTCTGGACACTAAATTGGATTTATGTTGCCAACCCAGCTTTCTGTGCAGGCCACTTATTCCCCTCACTTCGTTTCCTGCCGACTTTTATGCAGAATAACTCGTAAACTAGCGCGATAAACGCTGTTAGTTGTTAAACTGGATCGCTCTTCAGTTCATTTAAGGTTTTTTTTTCCTAACTGGAGGCACTTTCAATCTTTCAGCGCTGCCACGAAGCTCGACCATCAACCCAAATCTAACTGATGAAAATGGTGAGCTAAATTTGTTTTATGAAGACAAAAACTAAGTTTTAAACAAAGACATTTTATGTCAGTTTGTCCGAATGTTTAGCTATAGCCTCAAATACTTAGGGTAACATTTTTTTTCACTCGATGAAAACACAGCTAATTATCTCCTACCTTTTCACACAAAAACTCCTTGTTTTAACCTCTTACCTTCATGTGGCTTCCTGGGATGTTGCAGAACTCCAGCATGAAGTTTTCTTCTGTCAAGAGATTTGTTTGACTTGATGTGGGTCCTCCCGACGCAGCGGAACACTGGAGGGCCAACAAGTAGGCTCGTGGAGCGACAGGTCGTTTAGCCAATGGAAAAGCAGCAGCTAAGGACGTTAACCAATCAAAGTGAGATTTGAACAAAGAGGGTGGAGCGAGTAAGGTCCCGCCCAATGGGTTTATGTTGCATTTCTTTGTCCAGTGTTCCTGAGACTCTCAGACAAGTTAATGACTTTCAGGAAGTTTTTCTGTGAACACTAGGTGTTTATTAATGAGGTGTATTAACAATACATTTAATAAAACGCTAATATTTCAAAAAGTACAGCTTGTAGATGTTTTATTATATATTTATGCTACAAAATAATATTTACATATTAATGCACCAACAGTAAAAACAAAAATGCACAAATGCAAACCAAATGAATTGTATGTCCCCCAGCTGAGTAATTCATCCGTCATTGTTATCCCCTTCTTTTTTTTTTTTTTTTGCCTCTCACTTCTAATCACATGGGACGTCGAAATGTTTTCACCAAATATTTTACATTAATATTCCAGAGTTAATAATAAACACATTTTGATTTGATTGTCAGCATTTGCTCAGATTATATTAGCGATAGTAATTGTTTAACAAAATAGCCAAACTGTTGCATTAAAATAGGACATACATTAGATAAATTAGATTAGTTATTATTACAGCCATTATTTGTTCTAAAATTCTAAAAAAAAAAAAATAACAAAAACAAAAAAAAGGGAGAAATTGTTTTCATCTCAACCTTTAAACACACCCTGTTTCTGGTTCCCACATCAGCTTTCTAGGGATGAAAAGGGATGTTGTTTTCTTTAGCTTCTGCTGCTGCACGTTCTTGCAGGGTACAAGAAAGGTAGTAATGAATGCAGTTTGCTGCAGACCTGTAAATCCCTCTCAGCTCAAAGAGTTCCGTAATACACTACAGCTACCAGTAGAGTGCAATGCTCACACAACTCAGCTGTCTCAAAGGCTGCCTTTGGCTGTATCAGGCAACATGCAGAAAATCAGCTTTTCACTAGCTGTTAGAGAATCTGATGGACAATCACTGGTTTCATTCCTGTCAAAAGGTCCTAGTTCTGCCTGAGCCTGAACATAATTTCAGTCTGTCATTTTACTATTCTGTAAGAGCACACGCATAAACTGTCCAGTGTTACAGTTAGACTTCCTGTCCATGTGCAGCATTTTGGTGCCTTAGGATGATTGTGTCCCTTTTTTACCTTCACTCTGTTATCGTGAGGGTACACAGCAAAGTCAGAGATGTGTGGCTCCTGATAGGCTGCTGGTGCATGTAGCCTCTCCTGCACTAATAAAGAGTCTCTATTTCAGGCTCTTCAATTAGGCTCCTCTGCTCAGCCTTCTGACTGGCTGCTGTTGAGAATCAGTGTCCTCAGGTTTTCTGTCCTGTGTCCTTGTCTCCCTTTAACAAACAAACGACACAGCAAGAAGTACAATTTAGGTTGATTTACTTTGACATTGACAGTAAATCTAGAGGGTCGAACCAATTCCAGAACAATTTTTGGGGAGAGCTTTACAATACATTCTGTTATGTGGAGAATTGAAATGTCAAAAGGATTTTCTTTGAGTTATAAAATAAAATCTGTGGTAAAAACAGGCTGGATAAAATCAGGAACACTGGCACCAGTGGAATTAATTAGTGTATTTTTTAAACATTATTTGTACTTTCAATAAAACATGAATTTGGAATGTATGGCTGAATATTTAAAAATAGCACACCCCTGTCAAACTGAGAACTTTTCTTCTGCCATGAATTTTTTTTATCATAAAAGTCATTATAAATAAATAAATAAATAAATAAATAAATAAATAATTAAATATATATATATATAATATCTCCTCCTTAAACCGTCACATTATCGTGGTGGAGGAGTTTGAGTGCCCTAATGATCCTAGGAGCTATGTTGTCTGGGGCACCTTGTGCCCCTGGTGGGGTCTCCCATGACAAATTGGTCTTAGGTGAAGGGTGAGACAAAGAACGGTTCACAGGATCTTTCAAGGAAGTAAATTCAAAGAGTTGGAGTACCCAGCCCGGAGGGTTACCGGGGTCCCACCCTGGAGCCAGGCCTGGGGTTGGGGCCCGTGAGCGAGCGCCTGGTGGCCGGGCTTTCGCCCATGGGGCCCGGCCGGGCCCAGCCTGAACTGGATACATGGGCTCATCCAACTGTGGACCCACCACCCGCAGGAGGAACATGAAGGGTCTGGTGCAATGTGGATCGGGTGGCAGACCAAGGCGGGAGCCTTGGCGGTACGATCCCCGGACAAGGAAACTGGTTTTTGGGACATGGAACGTCACCTCGCTGGCGGGGAAGGTACAGGAGCTTGTGGCAGAGGTTGAGCAGTACCGGCTAGATATAGTCGGACTCACCTCGACACATAGCATTGGCTCTGTAATCCAAGTCGTTGAGAGGGGTTGGACACTCTCCTTTGCTGGAGTTGCTCCGGGTGAGAGGCAGAGGGCTGGGGTTGGCTTTTTGTTAGCCCCAAGACTCTCTGCCTGTGTGTTGGGGTTTACCCCGGGGGACGAGAGGGTAGCTTCCCTGCGCCTTCGGGTCGGGGAAAGGGTCCTGACTGTTGTTTGTGCTTATGGGCCAAATATCAGTTCAGAGTACCCACCCTTTTTGGAGTACCTGGGACGAGTGCTAGATAGTGCTCCATCAGGGGACTCCATTGTCCTGCTGGGGGACTTCAATGCTCACGTGGGCAATGACAGCATGACCTGGAGGGGTGTGATTGGGAGGAACGGCCCGCCTGATCTGAACTCGAGTGGTGTTTCGTTATTGGACTTCTGTGCAAGCCGCAGTTTGGCCATAACGAACACCATGTTCAAACATAAGGATGCCCATTGGTACACTTGGTACCAGGGCAGCCTAGGTCGCAGGTCGATGATAGACTTTGTAGTCGTATCATCTGACCTGCGGTCGTATGTTTTGGACACCCGAGTGAAGAGAGGAGCGGAGCTGTCAACTGATCACCACCTGGTGGTGAGTTGGATCAGATGGCAGGTGAAGATGCTGCATAGACCTGGCAGACCCAAACGCATAGTGAGGGTCTGCTGGGAACGCCTGGCAGAAGAACCTGTTAAGACAGTCTTCAACTCCCACCTCCGGCAGAGCTTTGACCGCTTCCCAAGAGCAGTGGGGGACATTGACTCCAAGTGGGCCTTGTTCCACTCTGCAATTGTTGAGGCGGCTGTTGCTAGCTGTGGTCGCAAGGTGGCCGGTGCCAGTCGTGGTGGGAACCCCCGTACCCGCTGGTGGACACCAGCGGTTCGGGGAGCTGTCAGGCTGAAGAAGGAGGCCTACAGGGCATGGCTGGTCTGTGGGTCTCCGGAGGCAGCAGATAGGTACCGGATAGCCAAGCGGGGTGCAGCAATGGCAGTTGCTGAGGCTAAATCTCGGGCGTGTGAGGAGTTTGGTGAGGTCATGGAGAAAGACTATCGATCGGCTCCAAAGAGGTTCTGGCAAACTGTCCGGCGCCTCAGGAGAGGAAGGCAGCAACTCACTCACACTGTTTACAGTGGGGAGCGAGTTGCTCCCCACTGTAAACCCCACATATTATAGATGCTGAACTACAGCATCTATAATAATCAGAGATTAATTGAAATTCTTGTGAGATGTGTTGAGTTTCTGTGTTGGACCAGTGAATCATTATCGACCTGTCCTGGGCGTTCCTCACCTCTGCCCCACTGAATGCTGGGAAAGGTTTTGGCATCCTCATGGCCCTGAGCAATATGCTGGGTGTAGAAAATGAGTGAATTTGAATTATTTCAATAACGTCAATTAAACTGCAAGACAAACAATATTTGTTAATGACCTTCAGCCACACGTGAGGTCAGAATGTGTTTAGCCAACATACATCTGAGTTAGCATGCTAATACAGGGCATTTTTATGCATATGAAGAGGAAAATAAAACATAAATACCAAAGTGGTGCTTCTTATTAAATTTAACATCCACCTGCTGCCATATGATTAAATAAATGACTGGTGAAATGTGACGGGGTTCACTGCTTTAGGCCGCTCGAGCATTCTGGAAAAATGCAAATGATTAAACACGACCCTTCAAGGTCAAACTCTTAGGCAATTTACATAACACACCAGCAAACCCAATCAATTTCCAAACCCTAATCTCTTCATGCGATCAGGTTAGCGGAGTAAAGTAGACGTGTGTAACACCGACTGAGTGACTGAATCACATGTGGGTTTGGAGCGGCTGCATCCTCCCACACTCCTGAATGCATCCTCTGTACGGGGAATCAGCTGCAAAAAAATATACATCTGACAGATATGGAGCAATGGATGAATAACTAAATCCCCCACAGAACTGGGTGCCAGGCAACAGATGCTGATAACTGCCTCAGATTAGGTCTCAGATTGTCGCTGGCTCCTGCCAAGACTCTGAAGCTATATTTACAGCTCCCTCCTTTCGTCTCTCGTCTGATCGTGTCTGTGCCACGACGGAGTGTCATATCCACATTCTGTCTGGCATCTATGATGGAGTGCCAGGTGTGAAATGGAGATGAAAAATTAATTTGGCATACCACTTAGATGGAGAATAATGCCACAGAAGTAAGACAGATTGGAGTTTTGAGTGTGTTCATTCAGGATTGAGAGTACGGACCCCGATGTAGGGATTAACCGTGCTTGCTGCAAAGCAGCAAAGATGCTTTTTACGATGGAGCTTGTAAGTCATGAAAACCAGCCCTTTAGGGAGAATTTTCTTCATCATTTAAAATACTTTTTGTGATGTTTTTTCAGTGCAGAATCCAGTTTTGACACAACGTTCGACTCTTTCTGACAACTTTGTAAAAAAAACTAAGCTATAAAACTTCTCTAAAACATCAGACAGTGATTAAGTCAAATGATCAGCAGCTGATAAACAATCACCTGTTATTATAATTCTGTTTTTCTGAAAATAAAGAGTTTACTTTGCTAGTTTTAGCTTATCTAGAGGAAAAACCCTTTTCACAATATGAAGATAATATCTTAAGAATTGAGACTTGCTTTTTCACAATAAGGAGTTGTTTACAAAGTGCTTGGGATAAACCCAGTTTCTTCATTCAGTGTTCGTACTCTGATAGGAGATGATCTATCAGTTGCCAAACTTTCCTGACTTCTGATGTGTACCTTTTTTGTTGTGATTAGTGAGAAAACAGGGATTGTTATCTGAAGATAATGAGATGAATAAGTAATTATCTTGAGATTACATCTTTAAAAAGCAAGTTTTGCACAAGTGAGAAGAAA